AGTAGTATTCCTAATTACTCAGCAAATCTTCTCTCGGGATTGGTTGCCTCTTTGTGCGGGTGATGTAGGCACCAACCAGCAGAGTAGGGATGAAGGGGAAGTGCTCCCCTCTCCTGCCTGGCTCCCCCCACAGGCTCCCTTGCAAGACTATCCCGGATTACAGCAATTCCATTACCAACCTGCATTTCTTTATTAAGTTCTGTGGCTGCTACTTAATCCCCATTTGGGGTAACACACTAAGTAGCGCTAGGATGAATCCCTCAGTAGGCTGGCACAGCTAGGTAATTAGTACTCGTGAGAAGTGGGCGTGGGTGGGGGTGTGGGGGCTGGAGGGTAAAGAAAAACAAAGTTGGGAACGAGAAGGAGGTATTATCGACCCGAAGCTTTGCCTGAACAACTTCTTGTGGAGCCAGCTGCTGCTGACGGCCACTCAACGTGTGCTCCCCTCTTCTTCCTTCCTAATAGATTACCAATTCTTTTTTAAGGGGTAAGCAATGATTCTCCAAGATGACACACAAATAGTACTGGCTGGTGGTTTTTTTTTTTTTTTTTTCAGTCTGTTGACTTTCTAGTGACATTTTTTTCTACTCAGGTTGGAAGTTTAAGGGGTGGGGCTTCTGGATAAGCTCTTGTTTTCTTTTTCTTTTCTTTTCTTTTCTTTTTTTAAGATTTTATTTATTTATTTGAGAGAGAGAATGAGAGAGAGAGAGCATGAGAAGGTGGAGGGTCAGAGGGAGAAGCAGACTCCCCACTGAGCAGGGAGCCTAATGTGGGACTCGATCCCAGGACTCCAGGATCATAACCTGAGCTGAAGGCAGTGGCTTAACCAACTGAGCCCCCCAGGCACCCTAAGTTCTTGTTTTCCTAATAGAAACAGACAGACTTAGCTGACCTGTGCTTTTCATTCTTTGCCCTACCCTCTTCTTCAAAGTCTCAGAACAAAAGTAAAATCATGACTCCTATTCAGATATAAAAATGGACACGTGTAGGGGCACCTGTGTGGCTCAGCTGGCTCAGGTCATGATCCCAGGGTCCTGGGTTCTAGCCCTGAGTCAGGCTTTCTGCTCAGTGGGGAGCCTGCTTCTTCCTCTCTCTCTGCCTGCCTCTGCCTACTTGTGATCTCTTTCTGTCAAATAAATAAATAAAATCTTTAAAAAAAAGGTCAAATGATAAAACACAGATTATTCTTTTAGTTTCATAGTATGAATACTATGGTTTGATTTACTTTACTACCTCTGCCCTTATTTCTTTTCTTTTTAGCATAGGAACATCACCAACCCACCTCTTGGGAGACAGATGAACAGAGGTACTTGGGTTAAACATCTGGGAGCAGAACACGCTGGAGATTCGAAACCAGGACGCAAAACTTGAGGACCGCGAGCTTTCACAGGGATTCTACCTGAGTCAGGTGAGCAGCTGGGCCCAAGGAGCAGAAGGAGAGAGAAAATCCTAGAGCTTATTCCCGACTGAGTGCAAAGCCCAACTTGAATGCAGGGTTCAACCCCACGACCCAATCTCCCAGCCCACGTTTCCTGGGAATCAGAGAAACTCTCATATCTGATATTTTCAAAATTTCTTTCAACATTCATCTTCCAGGGGGAATGCAATTAAGTATTCCCAGTCAGGGGGAACAAATCTTCCTCATCACCTGCTTGGTTACTCTGTCCTTCCATGTTTTTCTCAACCAGCTAAGATGCTAAATAAAATGACCACGTCTCCAAATAAGGTTATCAGTGATTGAAAACCTACCAGACTGAAAGTGTGAGTCATGATTCAAATTCCCTGAAAACTCCAGTTTATAACCACTTCCCCCAAATATCCATTTATAAATAGAAAAATCAAGAATGAACTGGTTTTCTTTTTAAATCCACTTCCTCGTCTCTAAAAAATTAGCTTACTGCACAACTTCACCCAACACATGTTTATTGTTCTGATGGAAGCAATTCTAAATAAAGCTGAATTGCTGAAACTTCCTGTTACTTTTCCAGCAAGAGCTGATAACATTCAGCATGAAATTTCACTTTCACGTAAAGGATGTTTAAGGACTTTCTAATTCGACTCCAGCAGAACTTGCTTGATTCCTTGTTACTACGAAACCCATAGCAACAAAAACAAAAAGACAAATCAGGAAGAACTCTTCATCTTAAGAAATTGCAGTCAAACCACTAAATGTCAGTTTTGGAATAACAGAAAGGAGGCAGGCTAATAAAATACAGCAAGAATGATAAAAGTTGAGTTATTGGGGCAAGGACAATATGCATTTTGATTTTGATAGTTACTTCTGCCCTTGTAGGAGACGTGCCAATTTCACCTTCCTGGGGTAACTAAGGAGGGCGTCTATTTCCATACAGCCTTGCCTTGCCTTCCCTGGCTGTCGCACTTTTTTCCAATCTGATAGGCACAAGGTGGTATCTCTTTGTAGTTTGTTTTTGTTTTTAGGCAGAGAGAGAGAGACAGACAGACAGAGTGAAAGATTCTTAAGCAGGCTCCATGCCCAGCATGGAACCTAATGGGGGGCCCGATCTCACAACCCTGAGATCATGACTTGAGCCAAAATCGAGTCAGATGCTTAACTGTCTGAGCCACCCAGGGGCCCCATCTATAGTTTTAATTTATATGTATCTGATTTGGAGTGAGGTTAAGTAATCTGTCATACGTTTATAAACCATTTGTATTTCCTCTTCAGGGAACCATTATTTTCAGAGCCTTTGCCCAGTTTTCTATTTTGGTCCTTTTCCTATTGAATTGTAAGAGCTCTTTATATACCAAAGAGATTTGTCTTTGATGTGATTTGCCAGTATTTCCCACCCCCTCCCATGTTGCCATTTGTCTTTTGACTAAGCAGTTGTTTTGGCTCAACGTAAAGAACTTTATTTCTTTATTTATTTTTATAATTTGATTAAAAAATATTTTTAAAGATTTTATTTATCTATTTGACAGAGATCACAAGTAGGCAGAGAGGCAGGCAGAGAGAGAGGAAGGGAAGCAGGCTCCCTGCGGAGCAGACAGCCTGATGCGGGGAGCCGAAGGCAGAGGCTTTAACCCACTGAGTCACCCAGGTGCCCCTAAAAATTTTTAAAAAGATTTTATTTATTTATTTGACAGAGAGAGAGATCACAAGTAGACAGAGAAGCAGGTAGAGGTGGGGGCGGAAGCAGGCTCCCTGCTGAGCAGAGAGCCCAATGCCTGGTTTGATCCCAGGACCCTGAGATGGTGACCTGAGCCGAAGGCAGAGGCCTAACACACCGAGCCACCCAAGAACCCCTCAACGTAAAGAACTTTAATCCCAAAGATTTTCTAAGTGTTTGTGTGCCCCAAGGAGGCTATTGAGATAGAAGACTCCTATTTGGACAGACACAGAAATCCACCAGTTCGGTGTGCACTGGTGGGCCCATGGTCAATGATTCCCACCGAGAGATGAGAAAAAGGGGACTGAAACTGCTCTGTGTGTGGTGTCCTCTCCATGACAGGCAGGAACCCTTGGGAACGCATTTCTCCTCCTCAAGATGGATTTAGGCGCACATTCCACCTAAGGCTTCCCATCAGAGAATGGAAGGGCACTAAGAGGAGGGGTCCTGCCTCCCCTCTCCTGATAGGGAGTGTCCAAGGGTGTGCAGAGCCCCCTTCACATGGTCTGTGCCAGGGCCCCCTGGTGTTATTCTAGCTCCAATACATCATTTTTGGAAATGCATAGCTGGGGCTAACCGAGTCCTGGCAGTTGGGTCAAGAAAGAATTCTTGAGATGTCTTAGGTGCATTATGTCCACAGGACAAGACCCAAGGACAGAAAGACCTGCTGCCCCAGGATTACGAGCAAGTGATTTTATACCTTCGGGTTGGGAGAAGTAAAGGTAAGGGAAGATCTTAAAGGACTTTCGTATGTTAAAGAAGACTGTCAGGATCCTGGAGGAATGTCACGGTCTGCCTATCTCAAGTATTTGTCGATGGGCTGCAGGTTATATGGAGAGTAATTTTATCCACATTCCCTCTGCCTTTTTTTCCCACATCCTGGTGAGAGGGGCAGACAGATCCTCGCACAAGATTTATTTTAGCCACGGCGGCTGGGTCGACAGTGTTGTCATTATCATGCGCTGATAGAGAGCTTAGTAGCTTGCCCAGGCACCCCCGGGCGCTTGTTGGAGGGGGCTGTGTGCCAGCGGGACCTAAGGAAGCTTGGAAGCCCCGCCCATCCCAGTGCTAGAGCAAGTCCCAGGAGCAACGTTTCGGAATTCGGGAAGGAAGGGCCAACAGCCTCATCCGAGCAGACTTCCTGAGGTCTGCGATGGACGTGTTCCATCTCCCATCTCCCCGTCCGCCTCATCTATCATCTCTCAGAGCTCTCTGGGCTCTGCCCAGGCTCCCAGAGCGTTGCACAAGTCGCCCGGAATTTTTGCGCGCACGCGTGTCACTTTCTCACGCAGACACACGGTCAGAGCCCGGGCACAGCCGCACTGGCACGCACACAGCCCGGGCGGAGCGCTCGGGAGCAGGCGGCTCTGCACAGACCGTGCGGTCGGCGGGACAATGGCCCCCCCGCTAGCGGGGCCCGGGCGGGGAGCCGGGCAGTTCAGGGGAAGGAACCTAATTTCACCGTGAGGGGGGGCCCGATGGAGAGCGGGAGGAAAACCCGGGCATTCAGGGGACGACCCTCCCTCCGGGGGAAAGGGTTCTTCCCAGAAGGTCCGCGGGCTTTTCTCAATGCTTTCGGAGAAATGAAGCCGGGGGCAATTCCCTCGGAAGTCGAGCAAACTGGGCCGGGCCTGAGGTCCCGCCCCGCAGGGGCGGCCGGGGAATCTCCCCAGCCCCGGCCGAATCCCGGGCTGGAGGCCTCCCGTAGGCCCTGCCCCCTCGCCCTCCACCCGGCTCCACCCCGCCCCGCCCCGCCTTAGCCCAGCCCATCCCGTCATCAGCCCCCGCCCCATGTTAGCCCCGCCCACAACACGTTCCTTCGACCCACCCTCTAACCCCGCCCACTAACTGGCCGCGCGAGGTGGGGTGTGGCGGCCGCAGCGGCGGGGGCGGGGCCAGCCTCACCCGGAATGAAAATAAACGGCGGCCGCTGCCGCATCCGGGCACTCGGCGGGTCGCGGCGGGCGCGGTGGTGGCGCAGGTGAGGAGGCGGCGGCGGAGCGTCCGGTCCCCGGCGCTGTCTGGTGCCCCGGTTCCCGGCACGACCCCGACGCATCCCCTTCCCGGGACGGGGCGCGGCCACAGCGGCGGGCGGTGGGCGGCGAGCGCAGAGGCTGCCTGGGGCTTGGGGACGCGCCGACGGTTCGCGCGGCCCTAGGTCTGCGCTGGGCTGGGCCCGGGTGGTGGGGGTTTCTGTGGAGTTGTTCTGGGGGAGGCCGAGGAAGAGACGTGCTCACTAAGTAGACCTCATTAGCGGGACAAAAAGCTTGAATGCTAACACTGCTATTCCAGATATGTCAGTTGGGATTCACATTTGCAGTCAAAGCTAGGTTTTCTTTGCTATTTAATGAGAAAATGTGGTTGATGCTGCGTTTCTCTGATGATCTCGTTCCGCATTTGTCATCTCCTTCCCTTACTCTTATTTTTTAATACGAGAATCTTTTACTACTTCGCTTAAGAGAAAAGACAGTGTATTTTGAATATGCGCGTGTATATATATATATTTGAAAAGCTCTGGGTAAAGGTCCCCGTAGATCGATTCATTACAGAAGTGAAAGCGAAAATTTTAAAGGCGTAGTTGATAACGTTTCACTTTCAGTTTGGAGCGGTAATATTAATGAATTTCTGGGCTTCCTCCCGCCTCCCGTTCCCCACCCCACCCCCGTTTTATTGAGAAATAATTGACATACATGACTGCTTTTTTGGCTGTAATATGAAACATTGTGTGGCATGCATAATGAAACTTTCAGTTCTCCAGTTAAAACTGGAAACTGGTTTATTAAACTTTCTGCTTTTGATTTGATTTCAAGTATGTATCCTCTTTTTATTCTGCTTATAACCGACATTTTTGTAAGTTTCAAAACAGCAGATTAATCTTTTTTTTAAGATTCTTTTTTAAATTTATTTGACAGAAATCACAAGTAGTCAGAGAGGCAGGCAGAGAGAGAGAGAGAGAGGAGGAAGCAGGCTCCCTGCTGAGCAGAGAGCCCAATGTGGGGCTCCATCACAGGACCCTGAGATCATGACCTGAGTGGAAGGCAGAGGCTTTAACCCACTGAGCCGCCCAGGCGCTCCAGATTCTTTTTTAAACATTGTCTCATGCCTATGGACCTGCATCTGGTCATCTCCAGTTGATTTGGTCAGTGGGTAGAGTGTGCATTTGTGAAACCCTTTGGGCCTTTAGACCTTACAAAGAGCTTGAGTTCATGCATAAGACCTTTAGACCTTACAAAGAGCTTGAGTTCATGCATAAGAAGCCCATGAAACGATCATCCTCCCCGTTGGTATTTTATCCAGAATTCATGAAGATTTGTGAGTAGGGAACTGTGTATAGTGGTTGTGTGAGTTATTTGTGTTTCGTGCTTTTCTATGTGAGCAGCAGTTTGTTAGTGGTTGAAGATCTCTAGGGTGTTTTCTCGTGGGTCACCTGGGTGCACAGCAGCCTCCTCTTGACGTGTTTGTTCCTTACACCCTTTCCTCCTCCCTGCCCTAATGACCATCTTTCTCTCCCCAGACTGATATGAAATAGATTAGAACTTTCTTTTAAAATAGTCATTTATGGGGGCGCTGGGGTGGCTCAGTGGGCTAAGCTTCTGCCTTCGGCTGGTCATGATCTCAGGGTCCTGGGATCGAGCCCCACATCGGGCTCTCTGCTCAGCAGGGAGCCTGCTTCCCTCTCTCTCTCTCTGCCTGCCTCTCTGCCTACTTGTGATCTCTGTCTGTCAAATAAATAAATAAAATCGCTTAAATAAAATAAAATACTCACTTATGGAATACACTGAAGTTAACAAACTTGATTTTAAAATTAGGCGAACTGGGTTTTGGGGGTGTGGAATACTGCAGGCTCTATAAAGAAAAAGAGAAAGTTACGTATCAAGGTTATGTTAACCCTTAGATCTATTTTTCACTCTGTAGAACTTGTCTTCATCATTTAGAAGCTAATTGCCCTTTTACTTTTCTAACTCCTCTGATTTGGCAGTTTGACATCTCCAGCAGCCTTCCCTACCTCTTTGAACTGCAATGCTAGTGAGGGATGAGTAGACCCAACTCCTTTGCTGCCAGGGGCTTCTTTGGGAGAGACTAGTTACATACACAGGCCAGACAGGCAGCAAAGGATTGTGGGACAAAACGCAAAGTCCTGTGTTGTAGGCGGAAATCCCCGTGCTAGGTATGGCACTGCCTAGCTTTGTGACTTTGGCTGAGTCATTTTACAGTGCTGGGGCCTGGGTGTTTTCAGCTGTAAAGTGATGATCCAACTAGTGTTAGATTTGAATAGTACATAGATCTGCTATTGTGTGCTTATTGCAAACTATATAAAACTTTTCTAGCAAAACCTTTTAATTTTAAAAATTCAGATATAGAGAATATTGATAATTCATGGTTCCAGCCAGCTTTTATGTTTACCCTACCAAGGTGGTTGATCTTTATGCTAAACTCACCAAAATACAAATATAAGAGAGTTATGTATGTATGTTGAATTGTTTATGAAAGTTAACAGCTTTAAGGACTCATCTTTCTCTCATTTGATCTTTTCTCTTAATTCAGAGAATAATAGTTTAAGAAACAGAAAAGTATAATAAACCTTGCTACATTTTAGCAACTTTGAAATACATATTTATGTAACATGTAATGTGTAACTATATATAGTGTATTTTAGCATATGTATAGAATGTGTATATTTTAGAGACATTTAGAGCTAGTTAAAACCCTAATCTAAAAGTAATTTAGAGGGGCATCTGGGTAGCTCAGTAAGTTAAGCGTCTCCCTTCAACTCAGGTCATGATTCCAGGGTCTTGGGGTCAAGCCCCACGTTGAGCTCCCTGCTCAGTGGAGAGACTGCTTCTCCCTCTCCCTCTGCCTGCTGCTCCCCCTGCTTGTGCACTCTCTCTCTGTCAAATAAATAAAATCTTAAAAAAAAAAAAAGTGATTTAGATTAAACAGGAGAGGGAGGTGTGGAGGGGAGCTCTTCTTACCACATTGACCGCATCAGCCTGTTTGGTAAGTTATGAAATGCTTTGAAATATAGTGTGGAGTTTTGTTTATGTACTGTTTTGCTTTCAAGAATGGCGCAAAAGAAATATCTCCAAGCAAAATTGACCCAGTTCTTAAGGGAAGACAGAATTCAACTTTGGAAACCTCCATATACAGATGAAAATAAAGAAGGCGGTTTGGCATTGAAGGTATTTTCTTTCAAGACATAAATAAATAGCAGCGTTGTAAGTCTCCTTGGTAAATAAGATTCTGAAATCCCCGGAAATTTCCAGGTTTAACTGTGTAAATTTTTGGCGTAACCAAAAGTATTAGTGATAAGTGGGTGCCCACTTTAGAATTGACAGACTTATTTTTGTTTAGTAAGATTTTATTCATATGAGAATGGTCTCTAATTTCCTGGGCACATACTATTTTTAATACCTTCACAGTGTTACATGAAATTAGTAACTTGGGAACTGATTTTACCCTACTGGTGCGCACTACTAATGGCACTAAGGGCGTGTATTATGTGTTCATGGGGAACAGCTGGTTGGTTCTCTGTTCTCCTTGCTATTGTGGTTTGCTATAAAACAATGGCTCCCATCCCCCAGCTTTTTTTATACTATGGCTATCTGTTCATTTGTCCAAAACACTTTTCTAATACTTCCATCTCAATTTTTTATGGCAACATCAGAAATGACATTATTTTACATGGAGTGAGGGTTCTAGAAATTGAAGTTTGCCTGCTTTTTCAGACAAAAACGTTAATCATTTTTGACAGAAATCTTTTATATTGGAGTATAGCATGTACTTCTTTGCTTTCTCTGTCCAAGTATCCTGAGATAAATGATGGATTGTTTATCAGGAACTAAAGATTGTCACAAGGGCATCACATTATCCAGTGCAGTGACACAGTGATGTGCTTGGGAGGGAAGAGTTTTCTTTCCTGTCTTTCCCGTTCCTGACAGGCCTCACTTTTTATTTTTTGCAACCCATCTTGTGACCTTTTTTCTGAATTTACTTGTTACAGTCCCTTGGCTCCAAAGCTACGTATGGCATAGTAAGAGAACTATTTGGTCTTCATCCCCAATACCTGACACGGAGCTCCTAAAACACTTGGAATATTCCCAGTGGTAAGGGGGATAGGAGCATCTTTTGTTCTAATGAGGCAACTCTTGGTAATACCTTCAGGATGGGGCTGGTGGCCAAAAAGACCAAACTTCAATTAGAAGATGAGACTTTTAGGGGGCCTGGGTGGCTCAGTTGGTTAAGCGTCTGCCTTCAGCTCAGGTCATGACCTTAGGGTCCTAGGATGGAGCCCTGCCTTGAGCTCCCTGCTCAGTACAGAGTCTGCCTCTCCCTCTGCCCCTCCCCCCATTCATGCTCTGCTCTCTCTCAAACAAGTAAATAGAATCTTGAAAAAAAGGAAAAAAAGGATTAGATTCTCAGCCTACTTTTCAACCTTGGGGAGAGGAGAGGGCTAGCATTGAGTTAATCACCGGAGACTATTGATGTAATCAGTCATGCCCACTGTAATGGAGCTCTTAAAAGCCCTTAAATTATGGGTTTCAGGGAGCTTCCAGACTGGCAGACAAACCCATGTGCTGAGAGGGTGGCACGCCCTGACCCTCAGGGATAGAAGCTCCTGCACTCAGGACCCTCCCAGACCCACCTATGTGCCTCTTCACCTAGATTTTCATCTGTGTCCTTCATCACAAACTATGATTATAAGTATAGCATTCTTCTGAGTTCTGTTGAGTTGTTCTAGCGAATTGATTTTACAACCAGTACCAGCGATTGAGAATTTTTTGTTAAGAAAGTTATTTAAAGGGCGCCTGGATGGCTCAGTCGTTAGGCGTCTGCCTTCGGCTCAGGTCATGATCCCAGGGTCCTGGGATCAAACCCCACATCGGGCTGCCTGCTCAGCAGAAGCCTGCTTCTCCCTCTCCCATTCCCCCTGCTTATGTTCACTCTCTTGCTGTGTCTTTCCCTGTCAAAGAAAGAAAGAAAGTTATTTAAGTCTAATTTGACTTGTTCTCACAAGTTAGAAAAATGAGAATGTCTTCTTTGTGTTTTTTTTTTTTTTCTTTTGGTCTCCTCCCATGGAGTTGATCACTCCATTGTTCCTTAAAGTAATTTATAATGCATTACAGTGACATAAGTCATGGCCCACTTTTCCTTTACCCCTAGAACAATCCCAGTTATTTTCACATCTTCTGTTTGGTCTGTTTTCCTCTTCTTTGTTTTTATTTTTCCCTGGATCCTTTCTAGCCTCTGTATCTCTCTAGATGCCAAGCCCATCTGGATTTCCCTCCGATGGGCTGACCACCAGTCAGCAGTTTCTTTTCTTTTCTTTTCTTTTCTTTTTTCTTTTTTTTTTTTTTTTTGAAGATTTTATTTATTAACAGAGAGAGAGAGATCACAAGTAGGCAGAGAGGCAGGCAGAGAGGGGGAAGCAGGTGCTGGTGTCTGGCTTCCTTCATAACTTCCTTCCTAACTCCCCGCTGAGCAGGGAGCCCGATGTGGGGCTCAATCCCAGGACCCTGAGATCATGACCTGAGCCAAAGGCAGAGGCTTAACCCACTGAGCCACCCAGGCGCCTCATTGCCTTAGAGTCCTTCATAAGCTGTTCTGTACCATGCCCCTTTTTTGAGTTGGCACTACGTTGATCTCTTTTCTGATTTTGCTTCACAGGACCTTTCTAAGAAGTACTCTGACAGGCTAGAATGTTGTGAAAATGAAGTAGAGAAGATAATCGAAGAAATACGTTGCAAAGCAATCGAGCGTGGCACAGGAAATGAAAATTATAAAACAACAGGAATTGCTACAATTGAGGTCTTTTTGCCTCCACGGCTAAGAAAAGTGAGTGATTTTCCCAAAGGAGTACGTGTAGCAATGCTTTGTTGACTTAGTGATAAATTATAATTTTTTTTTAAAGCTACAATCCAAAGTGAAAAGTTCTTTTAAGTAACTTCGCATGCTGAATGTTTATCAATTTCAGAGTTAATTTTTGGATTTTTAAACTGGAACATTTACAGTGTAAGTTTGTTCCTCTTAGGCCTCCCAAACTTCACAAAGCCACACATCACATGCTTACCTTTTCTAGAGTTTGAATGAGCATTTAGAATAATGGGGACTTAAAAGAGTACTTCCGGTTTTCCCAGACTGTGCACAGTAGGACACATCAGGAAGGATGTCTCCCTTTTTTCTGTGCTGGTGGAGGCTACAGGGTAGTCAGCTGAGTGCTCGAGCAGGGCCACCTCCTGTCAGGGCCACGTCCTCAGTAGTTCAAGTCCAGAAATGGCATTGGGGCAGGGTACCCAAAGGTTGCTGGCCTCTGAGCACTGATCAGTGTTAATCATTTTCAGAAGATATGAAAATATATAAATATGTGTGTCAGAGCTCCCACAGGACCCAGCAGTTTCACTCTAAGAGAAATGAAAACCGTGTCTGTGCAGAAGCTTTGTTCATGAATTCTTATAGCTCTGTTCACAAAAGAGCTCTGTCTAGCTCTTCCTAGCCAGAAGGTGGACACAGCCCAAGTGTCCCTCAGTGGTGGAGCAGATAAATGCACTGTGGCCACACGCTGGAACATCCTTCAGCCATGAAGAGGAGTAGAGTGCTGACGCATCATCAATGTGGCGGAACCACAGAAACGTTATGAAGGAAGCCAGACACCAGCGCCACGTGCTGTATAGTTCCATTTGTACGAAACGTCTAGAATGAGTAAATCCATAGAGACCGAGATGAGATTAATGGTTGCCTGGGGCCTGGGGGATAAAGGGAGAGAATAGGGGGCACAAAATATGGTATTTCTTGGAGAGGATGATGAAAAAGTTCTGAAATTTGATCATGGTTGTGTAACTTTATAATAATGGAAACCACTGACTCATATTTTAAACAGGTGAGCTTTATGAAATGTAAATTTTATCTCATTAAAACTTGAAACAATGTCTAAGAAAAATATAGAACTGTATGAGAAAGAGAAAATTATGTATGTGTCTACCTCAGGATGCCCATTCATGAATTCAAAGGGTAATATATGAATATAGGCCTCTTTGCTAGTATGCAGCACCTGGGAAGCCAGACCACCAGTCAGAAAGCTGGCTGGCAAGTGTGGAATCTGAGCAGGTTTGCATGGTCTCCTAGGCTTTCGTAGTGATGTTGCTTTTTCCTCCCGAGCCCAACCAGGGGGGAATGAAGAGGTTCCAAGATGGCTTCTCTGTCCACTCCCTGCTCAGTGGGCACGGTTCCCTGAGGGTGGCTGTGGTGCCGAGGTGGTGGGCTGGGCCCTTGTGTCCTGTAGGCCAGCTTCCGTGAGTGAAGACACATCACAAACCCCTCTGAACGTCTTGCTTTCCCCCAGAGGGTGACGCCCTTCCTGGGGTACACACTTCTACCCCCTTGAGGGCTGCTAGGTCACAGGGTCAGCACATGCCAGGTCGTGTGCGGTAGCTTCTCCGCCCGGTGTGCCTCATTTCAGTCCCTAACATTGATACCAACCTTCCTGATTTTCTAGACGGAGTAATAGCACCACAAAGTGTCACGCCGAAGTACATTTTCTTTCTTTTTAAAAAATTTTTAATTTAAATTCAGTTTAGTTAACATATAGTGTATTATTAGTTTCAGGGGTAGAATTTCATGATTCATCAGTTGCATATAACACCCCGTGCTCATCACATCACGTGCCCTCCTTCGTGCCCATCCCCCAGTAGTTACCCCATCCCCCGACCCACCTCCCCTCCAGCAACCCTGTTTTTTCCCTGGAGTTAAGAGTCTCTTAGGGTTCACCCCCCTCTCTGTTTTTATCATGTTGTATTTTCCCTTCCCTTCCCCTAAGATCTTCTGTTTTGTTTCTTAAATTCCACATATGAGCGAAATCATACTGTATTTGTCTTTCCCTGACTGACGTAGTTCGCACAGCAGACAGTTACTTCCATGGAGTTCTTCTGTACAGTTTCTTTTATTTGCCTTTTTTAAAATAGGATAGGAAAAACCTGTTGGAGACGCGGCTGCACATCACTGGCAGAGAACTGAGGTCGAAGTAAGTATCTGGCTGCCCGGAGCCGCAGCTGCTCTCGGCCCTCCTGCACTGGCTCGTGGGGTCCTTTGACATTCCTGTTAGACAGCTGGGCAGGGACCATTCTCCTCACTTAGTGGAAAGGAAAATTGAGGCGTGGCCACTGCAGAACGCGATCAGGCTCACACTGGCAGTTAAGAGCAGAGCAAGAACTCAAGACTGGCACCATTTGCCTTCATTTCCTGGTATAACTTGAGACCGGCGGGAGCTCTGTGCCTCCCAGCTAACAGGTATGTGATAAGGTGCTTGAATAGTGAGTGAATGACATAAATAGAGATAATCATCAGATCATTAGTTTTGAATTTCATTTCTTAGTGCGTTCATCACTTGCTGTGACATTCAGCAAAGTGTTTTAGCCACATTCAGGCTGTTGGCCCATCTGTAAAAAGAAAACATAACTGTCACGTACTGGTGACAGTCTTACTCTTGAGACCCGTTTGGTTATGTCATCCACGTCTGTATTTTTAAATGATAAGTGTTTTGAGTACCTCCAGCACTAGCCGGCTCTGGTTCTGAAGCTCTGGTTCTGAAGCTGATTTTCTCATTTTCTTTGGTCAACTTGAGGGCTGTTAGGACGGATTCAGGAAGCATCATTCATTCAGCGCACAGGAGTAGATTGTCTGGAATAAGCCTCTGTTATGGGCTTCTCCTAGGAGACTGCAGGAGCCTAGAGAATGGATTTTCTCCAGACACTCGGCGAGGGCCATCCTCTTGAGATACACGTTCCCCACGCGTGGTCTCCACTTGATGAGGAAACAAGTAGTAAAGCAGATAGTTGAAGAAAGAACATTGTGTCTTACACAGTTTCGAGTAACGGTGTAGAAAGCTGGCTTTATTGTGAAGTGGTGTTTGGGAGGCGGGACATCGAAATACTGGGCGTTCCTAAGGGAAATGTATAAAATAGTGGTCATGATTAACTCCATTTATCGGATAATAATAAATTGATTACCTGCAGCCCGTACCGGTTTATTTTACAGAATTGCTGAAACCTTTGGATTTCAAGAAAATTACATCAAAATTGTCATAAACAAGAAACAGCTTCAACTCGGTATGTCATGGCAAAGTGCAGATTTTCTGTCGTGTTAGTACAAGGACTGCGTCTTTTTTCTCACTGTTTATCTATTCACAAATTTCTGATGGCTTTACTGTATATATACTCTAAAACAGGTTACTGTAGAACTGATTAAAATAGAAACATAAAGCAGGAAACAACCCTTCTAATCGGTATTTACTGTGTGTTCTGTGCTGGTGGGGAGAAAAGGCGCTCGTTGCATTCCTGAGGAAATGTTACAGAACGGGAGTATAGGTGTGCTCGGAGTGAAATGGGGGTTCCAGTAAGTTCTCTCCAAGGCAGAAGGGCTGAAGCTGAGTGAAGGCAGTGGGGCATGTTCTGATTGAGAGAGCCTCATATCTGGGGCCCCCTGATGTGAATTTGAGCAGTTGAAAAAGGTTTGGTAAGGTTGAGTGTAGAAAGTTGGGGAGAGGGCAGTGCTCTTTAAGGATGGAGGGCCCCACAGAGGCCACAGTGAAAAAGTTATAGCAGTGGTTCTCAACCGGGGGCAGTTTTGCCACCGGGGACTTTTGGCAAGATGTGGAGACATTTTTGGTTATCATGACTTGGTTGTGGGGTGGGGATGGAGGCTTATGCTCCTGTCACTCAGGGAGTCAAGACCAGGGATGCTGCGGAACCATCACACAGCACAGGACAGCTCCCACGACAGAGACTTACTTGGCCCACGATGGCCGTAGTGCTGTTGTGTAGAAAAACCTGGGCTCTGTGAACTCATGCAGTATTAGAAGGTTCCTCTCAAGAGAGGCTGGAAGCCACAGATGCTGGGGGGTGACCTGATAGATTTTGGTTTTAAACATTCCTGTGGGTGCAGGAGGGGAATGGACTTGAAGGAGGCATGAATGGCCTTGGGAGACCAGCTAGCTGTTGCAGCCGCTGAGGTAGGCACTACAGCTAGCTTGCAGGAGGCTCTTAGGGCTTACAGAGTCAGGTTCACATCCTAGCTTGGTGGAACGCAGCCTGCACACGGCCCTAGCCTGCCTTCTCTGCCGGCCATTCCCCATCGTCTGTTTCCAGTGTCATGGGTAGCTTTTCACTGTCCTCTCCTCTCTGTGACACTTCTGTTCCTGGTATTTCTTCACTGGGCGGAAACCCTCGATTTCATTGTTATCAGAGCCGTCAATGTCCACCTTATATCCTTTGTGTTTAAATCAGGTCTTTCCCCAAGCCCAGGGCCTCACGGTCTTCTACGTTTTCGTGTATTAATTAGCCTAACCTGGCTGAGGTCTGCAGTCTGTCCACAGCCCCCTTTATATATGAGTAGAGGCGAAGGATCCAGCTTCTCTAATATCCCCTGCTAGACTTGCCTTTGCCACACTGACCCATGGTGCCTCCTTTATTAGAAGTCTTTTTCTGCACTTCCCATCCTTTCCGTTTACCTGTAGGTTTATTCCTAGACCAGAACCCTAAAGGTTTTTTTAATTGGGATATCATGGACAGAGAACATTAGTTTCAGGTACACAACATAATGATTCAGTGTTTGTATAAATTGTGGAGGGCACACAGTAATGTCAGCTCATATAGTGAAACTTTTTTTTTTCTTGTGATGAGAACTTTTAAGATTTTACTTCCTAGCTATGTTAAAATATACAATATAGTATTATTAACTGCAGTCACGTGCTGTGTGTTACATTCCAGGATTTTGTAACTGGAAGTTTCTGCCTTTTGACCACCTTCACCTATAGAGTTTTTTTTATGATTGTGGTTTTGTTGTAGTTTTAAAATCTAGTAAGATGAGTTCTGTTCTTGGCCCTTCTTTATCGAGGTGACTTGGCCTTTGGTGTATCTTTATTTTTCTTCATAAATGTTAGAATGTTTGTCAAGTTTCTCAAGGAAAAAAAGTTTAATGGAGTTTCCCAGAAAAATATTCCAATTTATATACTTATAGTTTATAGTATCTCATTTTTAAAAAAGATTTTATTTATTTGACAGAGACCACAAGTAGGCAGAGAGGCGGCAGAGAGAGAGGGGGAAGTAGGCTCCCTGCTGAGCAGAGAGCCCGATGGGGGGCCGATCCCAGGACCCTGAGGCCATGACTCGAGCCGAAGGCAGAGGCTTAACCCACTGAGCCCCCCAGGCACCCCTATTTCATTATTTTAAAATCTATATGCATCTGTGTTTATTCTTCATTTTAGTGGTTTATTTGCATCTTTGACTTAATTTTTGTTGGTTTTGTGTATTCTATTAATTTTTCACAGAACCAACTTTTGATTTGGTGAATATACTTTCATTCTGTTTCATCACTGTCTGACACAGTCTTTTTCCCATTTTATGTGTAAGGCCCTGGGTGTTAAGTGCTTTACCCAGGACCACAACGTTCAGAAGAACCCGAGAGGTTTGCTTTTAGCTGCCACAGTGTGCTCCCCCTCACAGTTCTCCGCTGCACTGTGCCTTCTCACCTGTTGCTGGGAGCTGGGGGTATTATTTCTCCAGTTGGAGGGCATGGATATTACCCTCCGCTTACCAGTGACAGAATTATGCAGCCAGACATCGGCTGTGCTCACCGAGCCTGGGGCGTGGTGGCTCACGAGTACTAGTGCGGCTTTAAGAGTTCCATTGAACACGGGCGCCTGGGTGGCTCAGTGGGTTAAAGCCTCTGCCTTCGGCTCAGGTCATGATCCCGGGGTCCTGGGATCGAGCCCCACGTCAGGCTCTCTGCTCAGCGGGGAGCCTGCTTCCTCCTCTCTCTCTGCCTGCCTCTCTGCCTACTTGTGATCTCTGTCTGTCAAATAAATAAATAAAAACCTTAAAAAAAAAAAAAAGAGTTCCATTGAACAGAATGGACCGTCACCAGTACACAGTGTGTTTTTGGCTCTTTTCGTGAGAGGCATTTCTGACTTTTACAGGGAAAACCCTTGAGGAACAAGGCGTGACGCACAACGTGAAAGCCATGGTGCTTGAACTCAAACAGTCCGAAGAGGATGTGAGGAAACACTTCCAGGTTGAGGAGGAAGAGCAAAATGAAGCTGAGCTCAAGGAAAAAAGGATCCAGAGGACCAAGAGAGGCCTGGAGATACTGGCAGAGAGAGGTGCGCAGAGCTCTGGGCGCGCTCTTTCCCTCTAGGCTGGGAGGGGATGCGGGGTGGGGAGGCCGGGGGCTCCGTGGTCACAGTTCGCAGGGACTTTTCTTCCCCGCAGTCTCATACTCCTCTAATGTCCCGTTACTGCGTTCTGGTGTGGGATTAACGGACTTCCTTTCGGTTCTATTGCAGCTGAGATGGTGGTGGATCCAGAAACCACACCGTATTTAGACATAGCCAACCAGACGGGCAGATCAATCAGAATTCCTCCGTCAGAAAGAAAGGTAAGTACTATAGAAGTTTACGGCTGAAGCCTTGATTTGTTGTCAGAACAGAAGTGGTTTTCTAGCTGTTTTGTCTTGGACTGTCATAAAGGACTAGAAACCGTTTTCCACGGGAGCTTCTAAACAGGATGGAAGCCTGTGACACGCACCTGCGTCCCCCAACTCAGCCTGTGACGTTCAGTGCCGTAGAACAGAATGGCTCGGTGGCATGTCCCGCAGCAGGGGTGAATGTTCCCAGGTGACGTGATCCACTGCCTTCCGCACAGGCAGCTCCCCGTGGCAGTGCTGGTTTGGGTGTTTTGTTTTTGTTTTTGTTTTTTACCAGAGGGCATGTCCTCTAAGGGATAGACCAGAATAGGGAGCTGGGGGCAGGAGGAGGGGCGTGTAATTTGGGAAAAAGCCGGACAGGTGATTCTGCCATCTCTCCCCTGCCTTTCCAGTAATTTGGAATAGGCAGGAGGTGGTTTTATCTTTGAACACATCGCAGGGGGTCTTTGCAGGGGCATTCTACAGCTGGGACCCAGAGGTCAGTATCTGAGCTGGTCCAGTAGCTTCCGATAATGAAGAGATATAATGACTGTGGGTCAAGTCCATTTTAATTGTTCTGTCTTTAAAGGACAAGTTAGAGTAGGCTTCACTCCATGACTTATATGGTTGAAAATGAAGGATTAAAGTTAAGTTTTAATAAGAACTTGGTAGCTATCAGTGGATTGATGCTTGTTTATTTTTAAAATGTTGGTAATTATTTGCCCACAACTCTCTTACATTAAATGATGATATCCAGGGGCACCTGGCTGCCTCAGTCAGTGGAGTGTGTGACTCGATCTCACGGTTGTAAGTTTGAGCCCCATGTTGGGTGTGATTTAATTTTTAAAAATCTTTAAAAAAAAAGATATCCAGACTTTTTGGGAAACCTTTACAAAGCTGAATTGTATGAAAATTCAAATTTAAATATTAATGAATTTAAAAACATTTTTGGATTGCCCTTTCTTTTTTTCAAGTAAGCTCTGTGCCCAATGTGGGGCTTGAACTCAGAGCCACAAAATCGAGAACAGCACCCTCTACTGACTGAGCCAGCCAGGCACCCATGGATTGCCTTTTAGAAATTGTTTTAGGAATACTGGAGTTGATAGATACTTCAGAAAAAAACTTGATTAAAATTAGAAAGTGAGGGGCAGCTGGGTGCCTCAGTCCATTAAACATCTCCCTTTGGTTCAGGTCATGATCCCAGGGTCCTAGGATCGAGCCATGTTTGTGTGAGTGTGTTCATGTCCCCCCCTTCCCCCCCACTCCCTGCTCAGTGGGGAGCCTGCTTCTCCCTCTCCCTCCGTCCATCCCCTGCTGGTGCGTGCGCACGTGCTCTCTTTCTCTCTCCCTCTCTCTCTCAAATCTTTAAAACCCGAAAACTAGAAAGTGAAATGAATGCCTTTTTTTTTTTTTTTTTTAAAGAGCGCATGAGCAGGGGAAAGGGCAGAGAGAGAGAGAATCCCAAGCAGGCTCCATTGTGGAGTTCAATGCTCGGTTTTATGATCCTGAGATCAAGACCTTAGCTGAAACCAAGAGTCAGGTGCTTAACTGACTGAGCCCCCCAGGTGCCTCATGAATGCTTTTTTTCGAAGGGATACAAGCATTACTGGCTGCTTGTTTATTTGTTCAGTCTTACTGAACACTAGAAATAGATCTAAATCAGCAGATACTGGAATAAACTGATGGAGAGAGACAGGTGCGGGTTATGACCCTGTCAGCCACGTTAAATTGAGTGCTTGATCTCAGGATTGAAATGAAATGAAGCTTTGATTATGTTTTTCTTAATTTTGGCTTTTGGATTGAGTTGTGATCTTGGGTTTTTAAAAAATCTTTCCTTGACTTCTCTAGACTTGATATGCTTTTCATATAATTTGTTTTATTACAGTTAAATGTTTTTTTTTTTAATTCCATATTTTTTTCTAGGCGCTTATGTTAGCTATGGGATATCATGAGAAGGGCAGAGCTTTCCTGAAAAGAAAAGAATATGGAATAGCCTTGCCGTGTCTGCTGGATGCTGACAAATATTTCTGGTAGGCACTTTTGTACTTGGTGGTACCCGCCTTAAGGAAGATAGTCCAGGTTCTACCCAGCGCCGTCTCTCTGCCCGCACGCGTCCGGCTTCAGCTTTCCGCCCAAGACAGTCGTGAATGTGAAGAGAGTAGTTGCGGTGTAGACCAGTTTGTGAATTATTTTATCCCTTCAGATTGCTCATCTCTTCCCTGTTAGGAACCTCATCAACACGCACTTGTTCTGTTTGGATGGCCCGCCCGTGGCAGCTGTGTCTGTGCCTGCGCGGTCCATCCCGCCGTCTCCCATCAGCTGGTCCCGGCGGCTTCGGTGCAGGTGTTGGTGCTCATTCCCAAGTCCGTTGCTTCATTAGGGGCTGCACACAGTGACACCTTCTCTTTTCTTCTGCATTTATTGCTGGGATTCTTCCGAAAAGAAGTATTTTTCCTCACTGGCTCTGTGGTTACAATGAGGTATAGTTTGTAAAGGAAGAATAAAATGCTTGGTTCTTTCTTCTTACTTTCCTGTTTTCAGAATAAATGAGGTGCTTCCCTTGAATTCCCCGAAGAGGATATCACCAGTGAGGTTTTTCTTTCCTTTTTTTTTTTCTTTTCTTTTTTTTAAGTATCAATATGAACTCAGATTTTAACACATTTGACGTTTTTCAGACCTCAGTGCTTAAATTGACCATTTGTGCCCAACACGTGGGTCCTGTGCTGCATCTTTTGGACCCGATCCCAGTGGTGGCTGGTGTCCAAAGGTGTTCCAGACTCATCCCAGACCAGGAGTCAGCAGTTCCCAGGGGCTCCTGATTCCTCTTGAGGGAAATGGTGCCAAGAGACTATAATCCTGGCAGAGGAGCTTGAAAAGTAGCCTTGGTATTTAAAAAGTTAACAACTTTAGGATTATTTTCTTTTCCATTTTGATGAAACCCCAAGATCTACTGTACACTTGAAGTGGATAAATACAAATGTTTATAGCTTGCCAAGCATATTAGCAGCAAGCACCCTTGGGTTTTAAGTGAACAAACCCCAATTTAAACTAACTTAAGCAAAAAAAAAAAAAAAAAAAAAAAGGATATTTGGCAAGAGGTGGCCAATCTGAAACAAGGGCTTGGTTCCTCTCGGGTTTTCTTACTCCACCTCTTTGTCCCTGCCTCTGTGCTGCCTTCTTTCTCTTCAGCTGTACACGGCGCAGGCTCGAAGTTAGGTCCGTCAAATGCAGACGCATTTTTCATTTCCTTCCATAATTGTAATTTTTTATTATGGAAAATTTCAAACATATATAAAAATAAAGATAGGTATAGTGAATTCCTATGTATTTTTTTTAAGATTTTATTTATTTGACACAGAGAGTGAGCACACAAGTAGGGGTGTGGCAGAGAGCAGGGAGCCTGATGCTGGGCTCGATCCTGGGACCCTGAGATCATTCCCTGAGCACTTTACCTGACTGAGCCGCTGAGGTGTCCCTCCCTCAGCAGTTACTGAGACGTGGTTAGTTTTGATTTGTCTCTGTGAGCCTTTCTCAACCTTATCCCAGACAAATCCTCGAAATAATTTTCAGGTCTCCAGGAAGCCCTAAATAAAAATGACTCTGTCTTCCGTTCACAGTACGTTACCATGTTCAGTAAGTCATAGATACAGTAACCCAGTCACGGTTGTCAGTGCCTCCTTAAAGAATGACACTTTTCCCCTGAAGCTCTCCTTAGTCAGGCTGACTTAAAAGCATCATTTTAGTGAGAGCGCTTCCTCTCGGTGGAGGTGATCGGCGCGGGCGCAGGTCAGGGATGAGGGTGGAAGAGACTTCAGTTCTGTTTCCTTTCCCACCTCCAGGTAAGCTGGCAGGTCTCACAGGACTTCGTTCTGCATCTTGGGGACTGGTGTGTAGTATATGACCAAGCGTCCTTTCTTTCCCTGTTTACAATGTAAAGTGGGAGTTCTGCTTTGGCCAAGAGGGATCAAGAGGGACCACATATCCTCTCACCTCAGACAACTGAAAATTTGGGCAAAGTGTGCAAACACCTCAGTTTTCTGGTGTATAGGACAGCGATCCCTAAGGCGGGGGAACAAGCGAGGGGAGCCCTGGGACTGTTTCTTGGGGCTGCCTCGGGAGCCAGTCGACTGCAGTGCAGGGATGAGAAAGCCAGACGGGGCCTCCTGCTCTCCCCGGAGCTGCAGAAATGGAGCTGGGAATCCAGGGAGGCCGCAGCGGGCGAGGGGAGAGCAGCCTGGGGGAGCAGGTCCCAGAGCTTCAAAAGGTCTCCTTGGAGTATTCTCTTGCATGTGAGGAAACCACCCCAGGTAGGGGAGGTCAGCACCCGAGAGGTGCAGAGAGCAATCTTTAGCACTCAGAAGGCCAAGAATAATGGCGACGATCAGAGCCAGAACCACAGTGACAGACTTTCTGATTGATCGTGGGCGTCCCAGGGAGATTTCAGAAGGGTGTTGGCTCCTCAGTAGGGCAAGATCATCTCTGAAGGCTGCTGTGGTCCCACCTGACAAAGCTTAAAAACAAGCCCTAAAAGGATCACCTGCATCCCAGACAAAGTAGTATTTATCACAACACGGCAACAGCCACCGGTGAAAAGTTAATGGTCATGCAAAGATGCAGGGAAATACAACCCGTGGTAAAGAATGGAAACAGACCCGGAAGTGGCACGGAAGATGGAAGATAGAATCCGTCGGCTGGGGCATTGACACGGTTGCTGTAACCGAATTCCGTATGTTCCGGAAGGTAGAGGAAGGACGGGGCGTGTTGGATAGACGTGGAACGCCCACCGGAGAGCCGCACCGGCACCGCGGAGACGCCAAGCGCAGCCCCCTGGGTGGGCTTCGGTGCGGACTGGACGGCACCGAAGAAAAGATGGGTTCGTGCGAAGACGGGGCAGTAGAAATGCTCCAACAGGAAACTGAGCAAAGATAGACGGACACAACGTCCCGAGGTGATAAGGCGGTTTCAGGTGACCCGATATGTGGATCATTGTAGTCCCTGAAAAGGAGGCAGCTGGGCTCCCCTGCGGAATCTTAAGAAATAATAGCCAGAATTTTCCCCAGTTGGTTAAAAACTATAAACCCCCAGATAAAAGAACCGCAGTGAGCCCCCAGGACAAGAAATAGGAAAAGCACCACCGAGGTGGACTGTGATCCAACTCCTTCAAGCCAGTGATTGAAAATGACTTTAGTCAACCTTTTCTGAAAAAAAAATGGAGATACATAAGCTTAGTTCGCCTTTCCTGAAACCGATCCCTTTATTTTACGTAAAAATTTTAAAATCATAAGGCAAATAGAATACATTTCTGTTAATTAACTGACTTCAGCTCAAATGGGATTTAATTTTTCTAAAGGTAGACTGAGTAGGCTTTACTTAAATTAATGTTGCTTATTTATTTTAATTAATGTTTTTAACATGAAAACTTACTGATCCTTGAGTGTGAAAGCTACTAAAACCATAGGCCAAGGTAGTAGTAATAAAATTATAATCTAAGGTACAGTTTTATACAGGGCTTTAACATTTTTTTTCTGAGTGACATGATCAGGTTCAAATATAGGCCTAATAGTTTCAAAATTATTAACTCTGAAGTGTTGATTTCGTGATCCCTTTTATATAGGCCTCTACCTGAAGAGAAAGTGTTTTTGAAATGAAAAGAACAACATGTCCTTCGCTAGCCTGAGACCCATGCTTGTTGCTCAGGCTGCCCGGTAGTCCCTTCGGAGCTGAGCTTGCACACGTGGTTCTATTTTTACCTGAAATGAGGCAGTTTTTGCCTTGCTCTGCATGCGTATTAAGCGTGAATGAGCCCCACACGCACAGGTAGGGGCTCGAAAACTGTGACAAAATGTCCCCTGCTTTCTTAGGGACAGCAGGATCGTCTTCTCTCCTAGAAAAGGAGTCTAGAATGTGAGATCAGACCACAGTCCACAGAGTTTTCAGGCTGAGCAGGCAGTTCAGAGACCGTGTCCCCTGCCCAGGCACGTGTATAAAATATAGTGGGCCCCTTACACGACCTCTCTGTAGAGCAGACACTATGACCGAAAGATGGGACAGATGACTAAAAAGCCCACTCTGGTGTATTTCTCCTGCACTCAGGAGACTCCCACTTCACAGTGTAAACGACACCATCACATTTCTTTGGTTTTTCCTTATTTCTTCCATGTGGATTTTGATTGGCAAGGGGGGAAGCTTGAGGGCATGTGGATTCTGCAGTTTGTACAAGAGCCATCTTCCCATTAATAGAATACCCACGAAAACAAACAGGGGAGACCTTTCAAGTTTGTCCTGAAGGTTTTCCTTTTTTGTTGACAAAGTTCTGACTTGAGGTCTAGGGGTGCGTTATGAATTTCTAAAAAGCACATTTTAAAAGCAGAATAAATAAGTTTGATGTCCATCTTTGCCAACATTCCCTTATCTTGTCGTCCCCCTGCTCTGGGGCTGGGGACGGCTGTGGAGTAGCATCCAGCCTGCACCCGGCCCCCAGCTCAGCTAAGCATTTAGAGCCTGGCATTTTCTCATTTTCCTCCCTGCTTGACTGTGGTTGCACATGAATGTCTTGTTTTCATCAGGGGAGACATTCACAGCAAGTGGTGATTTTGGGGGGGGGGTCTTTAAAGCACTGGTTCTCCACTTTGGCTGTACCTTAGAGTCACCTGGGGAGATTTCCAGAACACAACATCCAGGATCTGTCTTCAGAGGCTTCTGTTACAGTTTGATGTAGATGGGGTCCCAGCACCAGTGTGGACCAAAGAAAGAAGAAAATTCCTCACTCGCAGCTCATTCTGATTTGCAGTCAGGGCTGGAAACCTTTGCTTTAAGCCATGGCCGCCTCATGTTTGCTGACCTCATGTTTGCTGACGCAGTGACGTCAATTTTCCACTCCCTGCTGAACCTCACTCCCAGCGTAGCAAGGGGATGTGTGTGTGTGTGTGTGTGTGTGTGTGTGTGTTAGACCGTTATTCCTGAGCCCTAACTGCCTTTTCCCATTGGGAGAATTCCGATGATGAATACGGCTCCCTTCGTAGACACTGGGGTCTGTGCTGTGGAGCAGTCGGTCTTTGGGAATACAGCAGAACCTGGGAAAGACTTGCAGCGATCCACGAAAAGGTTTTTAATGCTCCTCTCCTGTGACGTCCTTTCCTCTCGCTCCCGCAGCGAGTGTTGCAGGGAGCTGCTGGACACCGTGGACAACTACGCCGTGCTGCAGCTGGACATCGTGTGGTGCTACTTCCGCCTGGAACAGCTGGAATGCCTTGACGACGCGGAAAAGAAATTAAACTTGGCTCAGAAATGCTTTAAGAATTGTTATGGAGAAAACCACCAGAGACTGGTCCACATAAAAGTATGTTACTCTGATTTGTTTTGTGTATTACTGAGCCCGTTTCTACCATTTGAGTTTATTCCTGATAACAAATGCCGACTGTTGCGAAGAGGTGATGCGGTAGCGTGCACAGCGCTCGTCCAGCGGTCCTCTCACGGCGGAACGTGACGCAGGTTGGGCTGTAACTTCGGTCTGGGCGGGGTGGAGCTGGAGGACCAAGTTGTCCAGCCCTAGAACCCCGTCGATGGTCACCCCGGCCGAGAGAGCTGGTGACTGTGTTCACTAGAGTTTCATGGAAGATTTAAGTGCAGAAAAAATAGACATTTTGAATGGTAGCCTTTGACACGAATGAGTCAGAGCTCAAGAGCTGTGATTCGAATAAGGATTTTTCTAAGGGGATTTCCACAAGTCATCAGAATTCGGCTTGGAAATCTCATGGCAACATAAAGCACCCCCGGTTTGGACTTTGGTCTACTTCCTTACTGACCGGAAGGACCAGGCACCCAGGAGTCCTGGCACCATTTCTTCCTGGTGGGACGGGGGATGTCCTCGTCCTCTGGGATCTTTACTTTTGCCCTTAGTGGTACATGAAGATAGAAACGTTTTAGGAGTGCACTTTTGCCCCTGTAAAGATGAAGGGAATTACAAGTGTGAATGTTACAGATCTGTAATTAGAAATAAGACAGTTTTATCCTTTTTCCCCCCAATAATTTTAGGGGAACTGTGGGAAAGAGAAGGTATTGTTTTTAAGACTTTACTTGCTTCAAGGTATCCGAAATTATCACAGTGGAAATGGCGAAGAGGCTCGTGACTATCTCAACAAGGTAAGAAAATGAACATTCCAGAGTTGTAGCCATTGTCACCTGCCTTTTTTTCCTTCCCCAAATATTCAGTATTTCATCAACTCAGTAGTTCATGACTAGTGAGAACACACATCTGGCCCCCGTGCCCTCTGCCTCACACACGCCGCACCATACTTGCATCTGTTAGAGTGCGGGTGAGATGCTGTCATGAGGAAACCTCAGAAAGACGGGGGCTTTAACTGGCTGCCGGTGTCCGTGCCTCACCTGGCGGTGAGGAGGGGAGCTGGGGAGCAGCTCCCCAGCCTGTGTGCAGCCGCCCCCGCCCCTCCTGTCAGTCCTCTTCCAGCCAGCAGAGGGGGCAAGAGAGCGAGTGCAGGGCCCCCTCCGGAAGGACTGGAGGTTAGGGCTGTCACTCCTGCTACACGCCACTGGCCTAGACTTAACCACCTAGCTACACCCAGTTGCAGGAGACAGCGAGAAATGCCTCGTGCACAGCTCCGATTCAGGGGATTTTGTTACAGAAACAGAAAAGATCGCGGCTACTTACCCTGTTTCCTTCTGTTACATTACCATACGCCACATGGGCAGAGTGATGTCTGTATTCTTTTTTAGCTAGTTGATAATAAGCAGAGTTCAGAGTGTTTACCTAAAATCTGACACACCGGGGGTGCCTGGGTGGCTGTCATTAAGCGTCTGCCTTGGGTTCAGGTCATGATCCTGGGGTCCCCGCTCAGTGGGGCTCCCTGGGATCGGGCTCCCTGCTCAGTGGGGAGCCTGCTTCTCCCTTTCCCTCTACTTGTGTTCCTTGCTCTCCCTCTGTGTCAAATTAAAAAATAAAATAAAATCTGACATACCGTAATTCATATCGGGTACAAGCTTATTCTTTCCGGGTTTTAGCTTTGGGTTAAGCTCTAATGTTGTTCAAGTTACAGGATTCTTGTATTTTTCTCTCGTCTGTAGGCACGCCAGCTCTTTAAAGAGTTATATATCGATCCGTCGAAAGTTCACAATCTGTTGCAGTTGGGGTTTACTGCCCAGGAAGCCCGGCTTGGCCTCAGGGCCTGTGACGGGAACGTGGACCACGCGGCAGCCCACATCACCAACCGCAGAGAGGTATCTTAGCGTGGTCTCGGCGACACTGGGTCTCGGCCTTGGAGTAGGTGTGAAACTTGAGGCGATAGTAAGCCTATTTGCAAAATGCTATAGCTCTTGGGTATGAAGGAAGAGAAAGATTGTTCTGTGGTAGTTCTAATCACAGGGGGCGCTTTATACTTCTCTATTCAGACTGGGAAGAAAGGAGAAACTTGTCCTTTTTAATTGCATTAATTTCCAGGCAGTGCAGTTTCCTTAGTTTTATTCCCTGTGGTGGTGGCCGTAGCTCCCATGCACATTATCCAGTTGGCCTGTCTGGGCATGTCCCCTCTCTCCTTGTCCCCTTACCATGGTAGATTTCTGGAGGCCATATTCGAGGGGGCTTTGTTTTCCCGTGGAGCCACGGTTACAGTTTGGGATGGCATCCTTAGCTAGAAACGTGAGTCAGGTCACAGGAACGATTAACAGTACGAAAGCAAACGTACAAAACTACAATCCTACGAAACAATTACAGATGAACAGATTAAAAAAACTTGAGATTGTGGAGTCAGAGGGCATGTTACCGTATCTAATATTGCTAATTTTACAGTAGAAGAGCTGAGTTCCAGACAGAGCTAATGATGGGGTACGGCGAAGTGGGGCCACTGTTGTTCTCTGAGGAGTCGGGATGGATTTTCTCCGTCCCTTCTAGCTGTAAACGCCAGTCGTAGAGGTGTCCGCCGCCACCTTGGCTGCATAGCCCAGTGTGGCACCCCCGTCCTCTGCCCCGTCTGTTTTTTTCGCCCAGTTTCTAGTGTAAAGGGAAACATCACAAAAATGTTCCTCCCGTGTCTCTACGTGATTAAAAGGAGGGCGAGCTAGGCATCTGTACTTGAAGGCACAGGGCTCTGAGGCTCCGACTTCGTGTCAGATCTGGGTGAGATGAAGCCTGAGTCCCGTGGCTGCTGGCCGACAGCACCTTTCTGTGTGTGTGAATGTTCTGCACGATTCTTCCGGACTCTAAATGGAAGAACTGAAATTGGAAGCAGAGGGTGGGGCAGGGGAAAGGCAGCTCACACGGCGGCGGGTGTGACTCCCAAGTCAAAATGCAGGTGCTGTGGAGTCACCTCGCTGGCCTGTGCGGCTGTGGAGCGGGCATGGCAATGGCGGGGTGGGGACGTGGGGGCCGGAGCATTGGGACCCTGAAACCATGACCTGAGCTGAAATCAAGAGTCAGACACTTAAGTGACTGAGCCACCAGGCACCCCCAAAATCTTTTTTTTTAAATGAGATTTGTTCTTAAATTCTGAACTCTCTTGATTGGGGTTGGGATGGGAGAGAAGCGGCTAGAACTCTCTGTAGCCCTTCTCAGGCTCTTGCAGCAACAGAAGGCACTTCTGAGCTCAGGGTCAAGAACTGTGGACTTCGATGACCTTTGTCTCCTGACACTGAGCATTCTGGAGGTTTAAAGCCTAGAAAGTACCTGGAGTGGGGTGGGTAGATCTCCAGGTTTGGTATCACCCAGGACACTGCCCCCCCCCGTCCCCCAACCCCCATCCTGACTCCACATGTTAACAAGATCCCTGGGAATTAACCAGGGGCCAAGAAGCCCTCCCAGCCATGCAGGAAGCTCTTCTGCAACCCCCGGAAGAGGGCCCGTCCGCTTCTCTGGCCTGGCAGTGATGAGCTCCCTGTTCTCAGTGGCCTGCTGTGGTGCTGGGTGGTGGCAACCGGGAGGCACTGCCCTCCAGCCCGGATGGTGGTCTCCGGCTCCCACCGGCCTGCCCCAAGAGCAGTGCCGGGCCCCCTGCCCTCACAGCCCTCTTGCTGGTGATTCGGGGAGCCGTGCGGAGGGAAGTTCAGCCCCTTCTTTTGTTTTCCACTTTGCCTGGCAACCCCCAGAATCCTACTGACTGTGGATCGAGCAGGCTTCTTACAGAGTCTCCGTTTCCAGTTCCGTGACTTTGCTGTTTTCCTAAAGGAATTGGCCCAAATAAGGAAAGAGGAAAAAGAAAAGAAAAGACGCCAGCTGGAGAGTATCAACTCTTTGAAAGGAATGGGCTACTCCACTCACGCGGCCAAGCAGGCCCTGCATCAGGCCGGCGGGAACCTGGATGAAGCCCTGAAGGTAGTCCCCCACCCCCGGCCTGCCCCGAGCGCCCCTGCTTGCGGGCCAGGGGGCCCCTCCTCGCTTACAGTCCTCTCCAGTGTCCTTCCGTGGTGCGTGCAGTCCCGCTTCCTGGGCCTTTCTGCTCTGTCCCAGTTTGGATCTAAGGGTCAGGCTCCTGTTCTCGAACCCAGTGACAGAGCCAGAGTGGTGGAGGCCGGGGGGGCAGAACTATGTGTAAGGTTTCCGTTTGCAACACCGAGAGTTTAGCAGTGATGTGGAGAATAGTGAGGGAAGTTGTGGGATGGTTTTCTTTTAATTAAAATGTTCTGTTTGAGTATCATTTTATTTATTGGTTCAGTCTGCACATGCTGGCCTCAGGGAGCACACAGAGTACTGGGGAGACAGAATGCAGAGGAGGACAGACCACCGTGGGAGCACGGCACATGGGGGGCAGGGGGGACGCTGAGCTGTAGAGGAGCACACGTGCGGGCCGGGCAAACGGGGTGCCTCTCCGGGCAGACACAGGGCAGTGGGGGGAGGGGTGGCACAAGGAAGCTGGGAGCTGGGGGGAGCCGCCAGGGCTGTGCCTGCTGGGGCTGGGGCCAGGTGGGCAGGGGTGCCCTTGTCTGCCCTGCTGAGGAGCTTGCTCTGGACCCTACCTGCAGCGAGGAGCCTGCCCTGCCTTGGCCTTTTATTCTCAAGGCCGCCGGGCCATTCCTCAGAACTTTGTGTGTTGGAACAATATAAAGGCAAGAAGTTCTGACTGGGGGTGGGGGTAATGTGGCTGTGCCGTAGGCTTGACTACACGAGTCGCACTGTGACACATGCCACCGGTCTAGAAGTATTTAAAGGGACATTCTCCAGAGGGTTTGTAAGGTAAAGAGTAGGTGTTGTGTGGTATGAAAATCAGCAGTCAAAAAGCTCTGCTTTCCTTGACATTTTAAATCTAGCTCATGACACTCTCCAAAGAGAAATGACATGGGTCAGCCCTGCAGGGTCTGAGAAACCTTTATCGCCCTGCATGACCTGTCGGCCCAGAGGCTGAGCTGACACAAGGGCTGTTTTCTTGGTTGCCTTCCCCCACTGCCCCCCACTGGCTCTGGTCCCTTCCTGCTTCCTCAGAAGGGACCTTTATCCTGGTTGTCTTGTTCCTCCCCAGGCCTCAACTCAGATGTTCTCTTTGCAGGAAGCCTTCTTTGAACGCCAGCATCCCCCTGCCACCTGGGCTCGGGGGATCCCTTTTCTCTGCTTCCTTTGCGCCCTTTGCCCGTTGCCCCACAGTGTCCTGCCCTTGACTTGCTGGTGTGTCTGTGGCCGTGTCTGCCCAGCACGGAGTCGGTGAGCAGGTGGGAGCGATGAGTAAATTCCTGTGTGTTTCTAGATTCTTCTCAGTAATCCTCAGATGTGGTGGTTAAATGATTCAGATCCTGAAACCAGCAGCCATCAAGAAAGTCCTTCCCAGGAAAACATCGAGCAGGTAAGCGAGGATATACCTGCGGCCCTCCACCACAGCTTGCGGGGGGCAGCGCCTAGGGTGACAAGGCTGGTGGCAGGACTGGGCTCCAGGAGCGACTCAGGCCCTCCTAGGAGGCCAGCCAGGCCCACGGCCGTGGCGATGGATGGGAGGGGAGCGGGTGGGCTCTCCTTTGAGAGCAGGAGATAGAGCAGCTGGAAGTTCTCTCTGTAGACTTTCCTCCTCTCGTGTGCCCCAGTACATGACACGACTGCCGCTGCTTTCAGCGCGCGTCCCTGCCAGTGACCTCAAAGGAGGTCACCGTGGCGCTCTGTCCCCACTTCCCTCCCTGACCGGCGCACCAAGTGTGTTGGACCACCTCTCTGAAGGCCCCAGTCACCGGGAGGAGCACGTCCCGTCGGCCCACAAGCCCGCTGCCTCTCTGCGAGGACCGGGCTCGGGCGTGTTGGGCACAAGCTTCCTCGATGCCTCCCCGGGCGGCGCGGGCACACGCTGTGCTGCAGGGCGGTGGGGCAGGAGGCCGGTGCCTTGCGCACGCCGGGGGTGAGATGCGTGTTCCCTGGAAGGCTGTTCTCCATGGCCAGGGGACAGCTGGGAGTGCTGGATGGGGGTCGGCGCGGTGTAGCCCAGCCCCGTGTTCTCCCCTAGCTGGTGTACATGGGCTTCGACGCGGTGGCGGCTGACGCCGCCCTGAGAGTGTTCAGGGGGAACGTGCAGCTGGCGGCCCAGACCCTGGCCCACAATGGGGGGAGTCTTCCTCCGGACCTGCAGCTCGCGGCCGAAGACGCTTCCTCCACGCCGTCCACGTCCCCTTCCGACTCCGCAGGTAGGTCTGGCTCTCAGAGCTGGTAGACTGGCGGGCCGTGTGCTAAGCAGGGGGCGGCCACGGGTGTGGCCAGGGCCCCGGGGACGGGGGTCAGCTCCGTCGTTCTGTGGCGTGTCCTCCCTCTGCTCTCCCCCGTCAGCTGTGACCACACTACTCCGTTGCAGGTACCTCTAGTGCCTCAACAGATGAAGATATGGAGACAGAAGCCGTCAATGAAATATTGGAAGATATTCCGGAACACGAAGAAGATTACCTTGACTCAACTCTGGAAGACGAAGAAATAATTATTGCAGAGTACTTATCCTATGTAGAAAACATAAAGTCGGCAACCAGGAAAAACTGAATAATGAGCAGAAATACGTACTGAGTTTCTGCTTATAAATTCTATCATTATGAAAAGTCGAATGCAGGTCTTTTTTTCCTTCCTTGTATCTGATTTTGCTGCAGGAATGCGCCCTCCCTGGGTGTAGGAGGGGCAGCGGGGAGCAGGGGCTGCTGTGAGGGTGAGGCGGGCTGGGGAGGGACAGGTGCGGGTTCCTAATGCTGAGCCTGGGGAAGGCGCTGCCTCTGGCCTGGTCCTCCTCCTCCTGGCAGGCCTTCAGATGCTGCAGCCCTAACCCGGTCTTCTCCTCTGCTTGGTTTCTTTTTACCGAGAAATGGGAAGGGCAGTTACTTCTGGAGCGTAGGTGGCCCCTGGGGAGGGTCTCCAGGAGGAGCTAATGGGGGGAAGCACCCATCCATCTCTTCACTTTGCCGGTTCTCCTGCCCCGCCGAGCTCACTGCTGGCTTCCCTGCCTCTTGCGCTGCAGCTCTGCCTGCCTGCTTTGGCCTCGCTGGCCCCTCCCTGACATGTGCTTTAAATCTTCAACCATTCCAAGCTCTCTGGGGGCTGACGATGAGGGATCAGCTACAGTAGCTGTACCAGACTCTGGCAGGCTGGACGTCTATGTTCTACACGCTTAGTTTAGTAAAACGTGTATTTGAAATTCAAGGTTGAAGTGGAGAATTTATAGCTCTTCAAAATTCTTTACAAAAATAAAATCTTTCATTAAATGGGGAAGTCTTAAATGCTAACCAAAGCAATTAATTTTTAATCAGCATTTCCAGACACTGTACTGTCATATGAAACTCACTGCTCACTGAGATATCTATCCGAGATTAAGATCTATTTTCTCCAGGTTTGTGGGGGCTTTTGGGTATACCTTTGTCACACTACTAATTTCTGAAGATGTAGTTAGCCTTTTAATGGCCCCAGTAAGCACTCCGACTGCGCCGAACATTGCTCGGGAGGTGGGAGTGACATGAGAGCCGGGTCCAGCCCCAGGACACAGCCGGCAGCCCCAGTGTGCCAGATATGTCCCTGATCCTCCTCCTGTCCTCCAGAGGTCACTGGAAGCTTCTGTGATGGAGGGTAGGTGGCCCCGTTGCCAGCGCCAAGGGCCGGCTGAAATGCTGTGACTTTTCCCCTAATCCTTTTCATAAAGCCTGAACAGCAGCCCAGTTTGAATGGGTGGGAATCTTTTCTGTTGACTTTACAATGAAGGATACAGAGGGGGAAAAAAGGTGGAAAACATACTCAAAAATCATCACCCTGACTTCGCAGTAAGTTGCTCAAACTCAAGTGTTCTAAGTAGGGAGCGCGCCTGGGCCGTCTCGATTCTTATTGAGATCCAGGGTGTTTGCTGCACGGAATTCTGAGAAGAAATCACAGCTGGCTCTCATGAAAGATGAAACGTGGAAAGCAGAGCTGGAGCTGATGGTGGGGAAGGAGCCCGCGCAGGAGGGGACAGGGTTTTGCGCCCTTGGTGTTGAAGTGGCTGACGATCGAGGTGATGAGGGGGTCTCTCTGGGACCGTGTCCTCCTCGGATTTCGGGCCTGAATCGCAGCTTCTGGCTAACCAGTTACTGTCCTGGCCTTGGGCCAGGCATGGCTTCGAGCTCCCAGATGCGTTCTTAATGATCCTGGAAAGGCTAGAATGCAGAAGCTCACCAGCAGGGCTCTGACCTCGCTTCATGGGCTCCCAAAGAAACACCGAGAGGCCAGCTCTCACGTAAGGAGGGCTGCCTGTCCCATGTCGGGAGGCAGGCTCTGGTCCTGGCTTTGCCTCCAGCTGCTGTGTGAAAGTAGGCAGTGACGGAGTGCCATTCCCAGCTCCGGAGGGCAGAAGCAGCAAAGGGCATCCGTGATGAAAATGTCCCCAAGTAAACGGGACTGTGCTGAGGCTGGAGAAGTCCCAGAGGACATGGGCCTTGGAGGGGCTCTCCTTGGAGAGTCCGAGAAGAAAGGAGAGCATCCCAGACCTGGGACCAATGAGGATGTAATAGTTGATATAGGACAGGCCAAGTGTGCCGTATCCATAAGGTCACGGCTGTTCTAGGTCCACCAGAGGGCGGGGTGGGGCAGAGGATGAGGCGGGAAGGACTGCCAGCCCAACTGCAGAGCGCCCGGAAAGGCAGGCAGGGGGTCGGGACTGCAGCGGCCGGATACCCAGGCCCTCAGGACTCAAGCAGGAGTGAGACACCGGCGTCTGCACTCTTCACATCTGAAGTCAATCCCTCTCATGAAATTCCGTGAGCTCTTGGCTTTGGTGACCCTCTCCTGCCTGTTCCCTGCCCATATGTCCCCCCCCCCACCTCAATCTGGCCCTATTTATCAAGGGCAAAGAATAATACCTGGTCATCTGCTCTTAACATCGTCAACATCTAACAGAGCCTTGTGTGCTGGAGAAATAAAAATTACCCGAATGCACTCTGCTATATAAATACCAAAACAAAACAAAACAAAAAAACCACCAACCCCAACCCCCAGGGGCGCCTGGGTGGCTCAGTGGGTTAGTCTCTGCCTTCGGCTCAGGTCATGATCCTAGGGTCCTGGGATCGAGTCCCCCATCGGGCTCTCTGCTCAGCTGGGAGCCTGCTTCCCTCTCTCTCTGCCTGCCTCTCTGCCTACTTGTGATCTCTGTCAAATAAGTAAATAAAATCTTTAAAAACAAAAACAAAAAACCCACCAGGTTTCCATTTCCTACTCTGTCCAGGGGAGGCAAGCGGGAGAACAGATCTCTAGCCCCTCCTGTGTCCCGATCCGCCCCGGGGCTCTTTCCCGGGTGTGTCCTAGCCCCTGTGTCTGTCTCTGTTGCGCTTGGAGGAGACGGCGGATCAGAGGTGGCGGAGGGGCTACAGGAGAGGCAGGAACGCGCAGCAGCTGCGCGCGTCCGGGAACGGCTGGTAACTCCAGCCACCCCTCTGCGGGCTCAGCGCAAATCCTGGCACCAGTACTCGAGGTGGTCCCGGTGCCGGCGCTCCCTGGGCTGCACTCGGCTCCGAGGCAGCCGCAGCTGTGGGCGCCGCAGGCCGGCCAGGCAGCCCCGGGCCCGCGCGAGGCCCAGCCCCAGGACGCTGCCGCGCCTGCTTCTCCCCGGCCAGCCTCCCTTCCTGGGGAGGCCCCCGCGTTCCCGGGGTGTGGCCTAGCGCGCAGTCACGAAGGTAGGCATCCCTTCCCACGGCCCCAGGTGCCCATCCCGTACCTATTCATGGGCCTGAGGGGGAGGGCCCCACCCGTCAGGCCTGGACCTGCACCCGCTCCCGGCGCGTGACGCGGACGCACTGGCTCTCGGTGAGCGCAGTGCACTGCCCGCTCCTCCGCACCAGAGGCTCCGGGCCTCGGCCAGATGCCGAGCCCTCGACCGCGGACGCCGCCCAGCGGCTTCTCCTCTCGCCCCCAGCCGAGGGCTGGCAGCGCGCCCCCTTCAGATGACAAGGGGGCAGCTGGGGGCGGCTCCCCTCGGGGCCTCTCCGGAGCCCGGGCCCCACCTCCCCCAGGAAGCCCCTCCAGCAGCTCCGCTGAGGCATGGCCCACCCCTTCCCCGCGTCCCGCGCGGGCGCCCGCGCTGTGCACGCGGCCGGCAGGCGACTGCCCGGGCCTTTGGACTCCAGACCCAGACGGGGCGGTGGGGAGCCCTCCTCGGTTCAGGCCGACTTGGGGGCTTCAGAGCAGGGGTGACGGCTCCCCGATGTCACTCTCACAGGCCGAAGGGCCTCTCCCGTGGCCACTGCCCACACGAGTGACACTAGGGGTCATCGGGCCGCAGCCCCTCATTGCCCCCTCGAGGAGGGGCAGGCCCGGGCGGGTGTGCGAAGCCCCTGTTCCGGGAACCCCTCCTCCCTCCGACGGGCCGCTGAGTTTGCAGAACAAAAGACATATTCCAGAGCGCGTGGAAGGACGTGTATTTCGGTTCTTCACCAGCGTCCTCAAGACAATCTGCCAAACTTAATGACAGCTGCTGCTGGGCGGCTTTTTGAAGAAATCCCATTTCCCCCCAGGACGGGCTTGGCTTTTGGGGACCTCAGGCCCTGGGGGCTGTGGGGCCGCAGACCCCGGGTCGGGAGGGTCCCGCTGGGCCAGGTGCAGACCCGAGGGCGGGGCCGCTCTGCGGGGGGTGGGGCCCGGCCTGGGGGCGGCGGGGGCGGAGACGTGGTCCCCGAGGGCGAGCACGGTCGCCGTCCACGGGACGGGAGGGGGCTTCAGAATCCACGGACACCGAGGCCGGGCAGAGGCGGGGCGCTCAGGCGGGCTGCAGGGGCGCGGCGGCGCAGCCCACCTTGTTGCTGAAGAGGCGGGAGCGGCTGCGCGCGGGGGCGGCGGGACGCGGCGGCGGCGCGCACGGGAGGCCGCGCACGTCCCAGAGGCGCAGCGCGCCGTCGTGCGACGCCGTGTACAGCACCTGTTCGTGCACCTGCGGGCGCGGGGCGGCGCGTGGGGCGGCGCTGCGGGGGCGCCCGGGCCGCCCTCCCCTCCGCAGGGCCTGCAGCTTCGCTCGTGGGCGCGAACGGCACCTACCTAAGCCGAGGGCCGGCGGCCTCTCCGCCGGGGGAGCCCAGCCTCGGGGTGCGGCGGGCGGCCTTCCCTCCCCGCCGAGGCAGAGCCTGGGGGCGGCACGAGCGCCTACCTGGATGCAGTTGATGACGAAGGCGTGGCCGCGGAACACCCTCTGCAGCGCTCCGGACTGGGCGTCGAAGGCGCGCGCGCGGGCGTCCCCGCTGCCCGTGAACACTGTGAACACAGGGCGCCGCTGGGCCTGGGCAGGGGTGCGGCGGGGCGGGCCCGGGCCCCTCCGCCCGCCGCACCGGGAGGTCATAAGGTTCAAATGGGAACTAGCGGGAGCTAGGAAGCTCCTTGCAAGGAAGGAGGCGGCACCTTCATTCTCCTGCTAAGGGCCTGGGAACTCAGGGGACCACCCCCCTCCCCGTGCACTGCAGGACCGCGGCTGCCCTCTCCGGGGCTCCTGTCCTTCCTGAGTACCACCTCGGCCCAGGTGCCCTCGCTCAGACCGTTTGGTGGAAGCCTTTGGTGAGGCCTGCTTCCCTGCTCTAAAGCCACTGCCTTGGGATTGGGGGGAGGAAGTCATCTACTCCCCCCCAACATCTGAGATGCCTACTGGGACAAGGACCGACTAGAAATTCGTTCCTTCCCCTCCTCAGTAATGAACTTGGCCCTCCAAACAGAGCCTGGACCCTCTGGCGTTCGCTAGAGCGCCCCTGCCCAACCTCTCCCCGGGAAGGGCCAGGATTCAGCCTTCCTTGTGCCTATTCCTACGTCAGAACTTAGTTCAAGAGTTCTCAGACTCTGGTGAGCACCTGAGTCACCTGGACTGGGGTTAAGGCAGATTGCTGAGCCCACCTGAGTTTCTGTCTTAGGAGGTCTGGGGCGGGGCCTGCGAGCCCGCTTGCCTAACCAGTTCCAGCTGCCGATGGTTCTGCCGGCCAGGGACCACACTGAGTACTGACCACAAGAACTCTGTTGTCTACCTATGGTCCCAGCCTGCGTTCTCCCAGAAATGACCCTGACGCTAGGATTGGAGTTCAAGTACTTCATCTGGCCTAGCATTCCACGAAGTGGGTAGAGAAACAGGAAGGAAGGATGTCCATACAGGGGAGTTAGCAGGTGACTACGGGGGGGCCCTCGGAGAAGGTGCAGACCATGTCTCAGAGCCGGACCCCTGGGAGAGGGGGGCTGGTCATTGGTTGAGGGCCTCTCTTGGGGATGTCAGCTCCCAGCCCTCCTCCAACCTGCTCCTCACAGGAAAGCACTCTAGGGCAGAGAACCTGAGGGGGGCAGAGAGAAGCGTCCCAGGTGTGGTCCCCACAGCATCTGCTGCACCCACCCAGCAGCCTGAGCAAGCCATGGGGGTCCCCAGCCTCAGGGATGTCTTCCCTACCCCGATTACTGCTTTACCTGCCTATTCCCAGCCTTGCTGCTGAAGCTACTGGTGAATGTGTCTCTAGAGGGGGAGTTTCCTTCCTGAGTCACTTCTGTTCCTTTCCTGCTTCCCCTACCCCAACCCAGTGTGGCTGCTGGGTGTACAGTGGAGGGGAGGAGGGTCAGGAATTCAGTCCATTACCCCTGCAGCCTGTTGGCAATGGCCACAGACCAGTTTCCTTAACAGTGGGCCGCAGGTGGGGTCCATCCCAGCTGCTGCCAAGGGGTGGCGCTCTGGGCGACTTTAATCTTTTTAAACCAGAGGTCCTGACTCGGGAGCAGAGCCAGAATCACACTTAACAGGCTTGGACCCAGGAAGAAGGAAAAAATAATTTTCCCGTGTCAGACACCTAAATCCCGAGGGTATCTCAAGCTCTATTTTCAGAGATCCACATTCTGTCTTCATCTAACACCCGTGCTGTGAAGTCAACTTGAATTTTGTGCTGTGTCTCTCCCCACCCATCTGCTCCTTCAGTGTGAGTGTGTGTGTGTGTGAGAGAGAGACAGACAGAGAGAGAGAGAGAGAGAGAGAGAACAGAGCAGGAATAGGGGGCCAATAGCAAAACGTAATGCTGGGCATTGTTTTGGGAAAGAGATGTTCAGGAACCTGGAAACCCCACTCTCATGTAGGTATGCTGAGGTGTGTGTGTGTGTGGGGGGGGTACTTCCTGGAGCAGTGTCTGTCTTCTGGATGTGTCTGGGGTGTGCACATGAGCCAGGCCTCAGGATAGAGTCAGCAAAGCTCAGGTGTGTCAGTTTGAGACCTGTGGGACAAAGAGCTTCTTGCCTATCCAATAAGCCATTCTTCCCTCTTTCTTTCAAGAATAACCTGATTAAAGTTGGCAGCAATATCCCAAGATAAGAGATTTTATTATTCAGTCTCTCTTTCAGGCAGCAAAGAGATGTATGCCAAGTCTTTGGGTAGGGCTTCCAGGAAAGATCTTTAAAGAGACCCACTCAGCTAAGAGACACATCGTTTTGCCTTTCCTTCTTCCTGTCTGCCTAAAACGTGATATGATGGCTGGAGCTTCAGCAGCTACCTTAAACTATGAGGCCCCCTAAAAGATAGAAGACGTGTGCTAAGAGCTATAAAGCAAAGTGATCAAAGGAAACTGGGTGCCCGGGACCTTTGTGGAACCATCCATTCCTGCCTGTACCGCCAGCCTCAGAAATTCTACCTGAGAAAAATAAACCACTGTTTCATTCAAGGCACTGTTATCTGGGCTGTTATCTGTAGCCAAATGTAATGCCAGGTGAAGCCAAACCCACGTGGCCCTTCAGTCTGGCGGGAGTTAAGTGGTATCAGTGTCTCATTTGAATAATGAGAATGTGTCCGTGAGATGTTCTTAACCCTGGGGCTCCTAAGCATTTGGGCCGTAATTTGTAAATAACCCTGCGGCGGGGGGCCGCCTGGATGACTCGGTTGGTTAAGCGTCTGCCCCCGGCTCAGGTCAGGATCCCAGGGTCCTCTCTGCTCAGGGGCGCCTGCTTCTCCCTCTCCCCCTGCTCCTCTCCCTGCTTGTGCTCTCTCGCTGCTGACCACCCCCAAAGGGCCACTGAGGCTCAGGAGGGAAGAAGTAAGAAGTAGGGCGCAGAGGCCCCGAGGGCGGGAGGATCTGGTGGGGGCGAGGCGTGAAGGGCGGAGGCAGCGCAGGCAGGTGGGGGCAGCGTGGGGCCAGCCTGGCCGGGAGTCACTTACAGGTGCCCGCGTGGTATCTGAGGGCGCTCACGCTGTGCCGGTGCGCCGCAAACGTGCGCACGCACTCCCCGGTGTCTGCCAGCCAGCACTTGACCGTCCTGTCGGCGCTGCCCGAGTACACGTGCCGGTTCACGAGCTGGGGGAGGAGGGAGGGCGGCGCTGGACCCCGGCTGCTGCCGCAGCAGGGGACTCGGATCCCGCCCAGACCGCTCCGTGTGGTGGGGGAGGGGCGCGTGCCCGTCTCACTGGGAACGGTGGGCGAGCGGGGAAGACCCCGCCGTGGGGACCACCCAACGGCCCGTTCCAGCACCCGAGAATCCTGCCGCTTTGCCCTCGGCCACGGCCCCGACGGCTCCCCCGCACGGAGAGAGAAGCATCGTGTCAGAGCCTTCCCACGGCGGGCGGGAAGAAGGCCTGGGGGCGCTCGGCACGCTAGGAGCAAGGGCCACGGAATGTTCGTCCGTGTCGTTACAGTCGTCAGCGTCTCTTGTCCGCAGTTGCTGCTGAAGAACCGTCCGTGCCTGAAAGTTTCCCGGGAATCCGCCTGTAGCTAAGGCCCGGCCGCACTAGCGGTTCCCTTGATCGTCCCAACGGAGAAAAGGGCTCCCGGGGCTGCCCTGGTGGGGAGGGAGGAGCCCCAGAGACAGGTTCCCCCACGACCCGCCTGCCCCAGCTGACCAGAGTGGCTTTCACACCCCTGCTCGGTGTCACAGGAGAGAAGGGATGCGGCGTGGGAGGCCCCTTGCAGCAGCTCCCCTGGCCGAGATAGACAGTGTCTGAGCCCAAGGGAAGGGCAACGACTACTAAAATAATTCTGCAGGTTCATCTAGACCAAATCCCGGCAGCCAAGAGAGTCCCCACCCAGCCCCTCTGGTTAGCAGCAAAGCAGAGGAGAACCGGAAGCCGGGCAAGGAGGGCGGCTGGGAGCCCTGGAGAGAGACATTTGTGCCAGTGCTGGGGCCCAGGGACCCCTGAAGACTTAGGAAAGAGGAGGCCATTCAGCTGGGGCACCAGGCGGCAGGCCTGGAGCGAGCACAGACTGGCCCCCCGCATCCTTACCATGGCCCACGCCTTCCTACCTCGAGCACACACCCGCCCAACGACAGCCACACTCTGGGCCCCTTTCCACTCCAGTGCCCGCGGCTGCCCCAGTTTCCCCCTATAAGTTCCTGGAGGACAGGGCTCTGACCAGTCCAGATTATATTTCCACCCCAGCCACAGCCCAGGTCAGACTTGGCTTTAGGCCATTCACTACGGCAGAGGCGGTGGGATCTCGGGTAACACGTATGGCCTCCTGCCCCTGTGTGTCCTGACCATCCCCAACAGCCATCACTTCAGAGGCAGCCCCAAAGCCTCCAGGGACCACGCTTCCCCAACTGCCCACTGAGACCCACAGACCTGAAATTAAGGGAGCTGGTGAGTGTGGCCTGTGGGCTGGAGGTCCTCGTGGGCCCCTGGGCCTCTCTGTGCCACTGAGTCCCCGCAAGGAGGGCCCTAAGCTTCCATGGCAGCTGCGGCAAAGGGACGATGCCTCCTGCTCACCACCCAGTGTGTCCCAAGAACGTGGGGCCTGTCGCACTGTGTTTACAAGTGACCAAGAAGCTCCATTTCAAAAGTACAAATCACGAGTCCAGAGCCAGGAAACGCTCCAAGTGTGTTGTCCTTGGCTGCCTAAGACCTCACTGTTCACTTTGGCTGCTTTCCTGCGAGGACGTCCACGGGGAACAGCCAGGCAGCTTGGGGAGGCCAGAGGAGGCCCGAGGCACATGGGGAAGCACACAGACCCTGACGGGGGCATGTCACAGAGGACAGGACCTGCAAGACTTCCCTCAGCCAAGACAGCTCTGGGGGGACGGGGCTCAGGGGCCATCTCCCTGCTGTGTGATCCATCCAAGCAGGCCTGGGCCTCTGCTGTGGAGGCCCCTGGGGCGCGGGCCTCTCCCTGCTCAGCTCCCGGCCGCAGATGCTCTCGGGGCAGGGGAATGAAGCTGCCGGGCCAGGCTGCAGAGCACAGGTGGGCTCCGGACATCCCGCCTCGGGGGAGAGACTGCCTGCCAGAGGGGGTTCCCCCAGCCCAGCAGGGTGCAGGCCCCATCACACCTTTCTATGCTGCCCCTCACCAGCTGTGAGGCCTTGGACAAGTTGCTCACCCCCTCTGAGCTTCTCACGTGTACAATGAGCACATACAAGCACAGGCAGCATCTGCTGGATGGCCAACCACAGCGCAAGCTACCAGGCACCCGAGGGGCTCACGTCTGGGTCACACCCACTGCTGGTCCGTGGAGCCCTCACAACCACCAGGGGTGGGCCCGATTTCACGCTCAGAATCCCTGATCCAAAACCTTGGAGCCAGATGTATTTCAGGAGTTTTGGGATTTGAGCAACACACTCGTGTTCCTACAGCAAAGGAATGCCTAGTCCCAAGAAATGGGGTCAAGTGAGCTCCAGCGAGCTTCCTGTCTGTGCGGGCCAGGCTTCACCGCCAAGGACGTTTTTGTGCCAAGCCTTAAAAAAAACCCAACTTCATGTTGTAGAACTTTTGGATTGAGGAATGAGGGACCAGCGTTTCTGGGTAGACATAACCTTCCCTTAACACGTAAAGAAACCAGAATTCCTATGTTGACAACAGCGGTGACCCTCGTATCCGTGAGGGCGGGTGTATTCGGAGACAGGGTCTTTAAGGACGTAGTTAAGTTAAAATGAGGTCACAGGGGTGGGACCTAATCCATAGGACTGGAGTCCCTATAGGAAGAGGACACCTGGATGCAGAGGGACGACGCCGTGAGAAGACGTCCAGCTACACGCCGACCCCTGGATCTCAGACTTGCAGCCCCAGAGCGGTGAGACATCTGTCCCTGTCATGTACACTGTCCCTGACTGCAGTACTCTGTTCCTCGGCCCAAGCTAACTAGGACTCGGGGGCAGGTGGTGGCTCAGAAGGCGACCCAGGGGCCTCCCTGGCAGACAGGCAAGGGCCAGGCGGATCTCACCTCCAGACAGATGACAGAGCCCTGGTGCTCCCTGAACACCCGCAGCTGCTCCCCGCTCAGGATGTCCCAGGCGCGGATTGTGGCGTCGGTGCTGCCGGTGAAGGCGGTATGACTGGGCGTGTCCAGCACAAGGCAGAGCACGGCTCCTGTGTGGCCCCGCAGTGTCTGGTGGCAGCAGCCGCTGGCTACCTGCCACACCTTGGCCGTGCCATCCGTGCTGCCCGTCACCAGGAGCCCCCCAACCTCCTCGGTGCAGGGAGCCCCGGGCAGGTCCCAGGGCGCGGAGTAGGCTAGGGTCAGCACGCAGTTGCGGTGGCCTCGGAACTCCTGGGCCACCTGTCCCTTGTCCATGCTCCAGGCTCGAGCTGTGCGGTCGTAGGAGCTGCTGAAGAGCTGGTTGTTGGCGACCAGGATCCTGGTGGGAACAGGGAGAGGGCAGAGGTCAGAGCATGCAGGGCTAAGGGCAGGGTCAGAGCACAGGGGTAAGAGGCAGGGGTCAGAGCACGCAGGGGTAAGGGGCAGGGGTCAAACTTCGCAGGGGTAGGGGCAGGGGTCAGACCACACAGGGGTGCCTAACAGGCCGTCAGGAGGGCCCTTTGTCTGGTGTCCTCTGTGTTCAGTGAGCCGGGAGAACCTCGTGTGGGCGGAGCGGAGCTCTGTTTGCGCCCATGGGGAGAGGAGAGGCCTCCCGGGCAGCAAATACTCATGACTTTAGTCTCACTTCGATGAATACTAAGAACTTCTTCCCAGGAAATACACGTTTGTCTTCACTATAGAACTTTGCTTAACATCAAAGACTCTGTTCACACACCCCTGTTAAGAAGCCCTGAGCCCCCCGCCCTCCGCGCCCCCAGGAGCCCACAAAGAGGTGGGGCAGCTGCACGGGGCATGTGTCATAAGTGTGGGGACAGAGCAGTCAATTCCCTGGGCACAGGTTACTCAGTAATGCAATCCAGCGGCTAAGCAAGACTTAGTGTCTACCTAGAACGGTCCATTTGGGACACCGACCCCTCAGATGTGGGGCACATGGACGTGTGTGTATGGGGCCTGTGTGCCCAGGAGAGTTGCAACCCCGCAGAGCATAATTTCTGGCCTCAATTACCCAGGTTTGGTTTTGAGGAGCAGCTGAGAGTTTCCGGTTACAAGCTGGGCACACGCCTATCCCCTGAGATGCGGCTTCTCCCCGCCACCCCGTCTCATGGCACGAGACTCCCACATACCCACACCTTCCCCCAGTCACATGCTTTCTCAAGGAAGGGTGTCGGGAAGCGACCAGCAGGAGGTGGGACGTCCTGCACCACCTGGAGGCGGGTGGGACCCGGCAGGCTCCAGCTAAAGAGGCCGGGGAAAAGCTTGGCTGTGGGAAGGTGACCTTGTCCCCTCACAGGCGTTCCGAGCCAGCACAACACTTGCGTCTCTGCGGAGGGTCGGTACCTCGCTCCTGCCCTATGGGTGCACAGCTCTGACTGCAGGTGGGTCATACCGGACACTCCCTCAGGAGTCTAAGACGGCCACCGCAAGTTACATAAATAGTGTCAAACTGATCTGATTAGCAAAGGAATTTTCATGGCTCAGCTCAGGCCCAAATTTAATAAGGAAAGGAAAAATTCAAACGGTTTTGAGAAGGACGGGGTGGGAAATTTCAACGACAACACGGAAAGGGGACGTTTAAAAATACCCTGCACTCCGTCTTCACAACAACCCCGTCTGGTTGACCATCAGGTACTAATTAGGCCACTTCCTCTGGAATCTGCTCCCATCAGTAGGAGCTGTGGCCTCCATCGCTTTTTCCCGGGCCTAGCAGTGGGCAGTGTGCTGCCCGGGTCCCCAAGGGGGACATCCAGGCACCATCAATGTGTTGGTGGGGCCTCCCTTCCCCAGCCTCTGCCTGCGGACCCCCCACATGCAGCCCATGTCGTGCCTGAAACACATGCGTCCGGGGACCCCCATCCTCTGTGCTCCTGACGACCTCGGATGCGTCTGCACATAGTCTTCCCCAGAGAAGCTAAGTTCCTCCAGCGGCAGGGGCCACACAGCCTCCCTCTCTGTCCCCGGGGCAACTCCCCACCGCCACACTGACCTGTTCACGATGGACGTGTGTCCTCGGAAGACCTGCAGACACTGCCCGGTGCGCACGTCCCACTTTCTGATGGTGCGGTCAGCGCTGCACGTGAAGGCAGCCTCGTCCTCCAGCTGGCAGAAGGTCACGTAGCTCTCGTGCCCTGCGGACGAGGGGAGACATGAGCGCGGGGCCTGGCAGCTTTAGTCTCCCTTCCGCGAAGAAAGCAGGGCTGGGGCGTGTTTGAGACGAGCTCAGGATCACCAGCCCTTCGGAGGGGCGACTTCGGTCTGGGAGGCTCAGGAGATGTGGGCTGCCGGGAGAAATTCAGGGGGCCCCTCTCTCTGACCCCCCAGATCCTTTTGTTCTCTCTTTTCCCATTCTTTCTCCCTCCTCTTCCTCCTTCCCCCTTTTTCATCCGTCTGTCTCCAGACTCTTCCGCTGTTTGTGTTCACTCAGTGGTTGAACAAAGCCACTGTCACTGTCACCGAGGCAGGAAGTATAGAAGCCCAGGGCCTTGGCCTTCGGGGCCAGATGCCCGGCCTAGCTCCTGGTGCTGCCACTGGGTCACCTCTGCACACCCCCATCTCCTCGTCCCCGTCTCGTGGGGCAGGCGCGCAGACTGGGTGAATGCCGGATGGTGGCTGTTTGCGGCCCCGGTGATGCAGGGTCCACGCGGGGCCTGTGTCTGGAGGGGAGGGGGGAAGAGCCGGGGGGAAGAAGACGGCCCACGCCAAAGCAGGAGGGAGCCCCTCGGGCTGGAATTTAGGTGTTTGGCAGAAATGGTGGATAAGGCTCAGGCACAGTGAGGGTGGAGGTGTACGGACAGACGGAGGGCCTCACAGAGCCGCGGCTCAGCCAAAGGCATCTGCTCGTCCACCTTGTCGGGGCGATGATCGGTGTTTTGACTTCCGGCCTGGCTTACAAAGCAGCCCTGGAAGGACTCAGCTCCCAGAGCAGGGCCTGTCCTCGTACAGCCGGCTCTGTTTCAGGGCCGGCCGGCTGGCCCGCTCAGCGGAGCCTGTGACTTTGATCTTGGGGTCTTGAGCTGGAGCCCCATGTTGGTTATAGAGTTTACTTAAAAAACAACAACAAAATCCTTTAAAGTCCTGCATGATAAAATCTAAATCTGTTTAGAATCTAAGATCAGCATTTATGGGTCAGACAGGCCCATATATGCAAAGATTCTCTATGCCTCAACTAGTTCTATACCTGCACGGACTCCTATGTATGTTAAAAAAAATGTTTCCACCTCAGATAACTTTTTTTTTAAATTTTATTTATTCATTTGACAGAGAGAGATAGAGCACACAAGCAGAGCGGCAGGCAGAGAGATGGGGGGAAGTAGGCTTCCACTGAGCAGGGAGCCCGAGGCAGGACTCGATCCAGGGACCTTAGGATAATGACCTGAGCCGAAGGCAGACAGTTAGCTGACTGAGCCACCCAGACACCCCAATAACAACCTTTTATTCCCCCTGATAACGAGTCCTGATAGCAAACTGAAGCTGAGCATATTTGAAAAGAATCCAGAAACCAGGGGTGCCTGGGAGGCTCAGTCGGTTAAGCGACTGCCTTTGGCTCTGGTCATGGTGCTGCCATCCCAGGATCCAGTCCCGCATCGGGCTCCCAGCTCCACAGCGGGTCTGCTTCTCCCTCTGACCTTCTCTCCTCTCATGCTCTCTCTCTCAAATAAATAAATAAAATCTTAATAAAAAGAAAAAAAAGGATCCAGCAACCAGAAAATCAATAGAATCAAAGGAATGTTATACCTAAGATCCATTTCAGATGAGGAAATTGATTAATTCAAATATCTACATGTGTGGGATATATTAATTACGTTAAAGATCACAACTGAATTTTAAAATTCTGTCTAGATATCTGATATCAGACAAGGATATTTTTTTTTGAAATCTTTTATTTATTTATTTAACAGAGAGAGAGAGAGAGAGAGAGAGAGTGCATAAGCAGAGTGGGCAGCAGAGGGAGAGGGGGAAGCAGGGTCCCCACCGAGCAGGGAGCCCGATGTAGGGCTCGATCCAAGGACCCCGGGATCATGAAGAGCTGAAAGCAGACGCTTAACTGGCTGAGCCACCCAGGCGCCCCCACACAGGGATTTAGAATCTTCTGGGCAGTTTCCAGCTGATGGGCACTTTTTGGCCCTGGGGTTTTAGCTCAGTCACTTTTGGAAGAACCCAACTCCCTGCGTTCTAAGAAAGAGAATTTAAAAAAAAAAAAAGGAAGGAAGGAAGACATGTTTTCCAGTCTTCTTGGAGAGCATGTACCAGGCCTCTAAGAAAACAACGTTTGTGCGAAGTAAGTAAACACTGGGAGATGATGCAGATTAGGTTTCCTTAAAATACACGTCAGTTTAAAAGTCAAGGGCAAAATGTTTGGCAAAACACAGCCCAGCTTTTTGCCAATCCCAAAATGTTTATGAAATATTTTAAGATTGTCAACAAACTACCCTGAAACCAGAGCTGCCATGGGGGTGCTCAGCGGCGTCTGAGGAGGCCCCTGGCTTCCAGGGCTGGAAGGTGGCCCGGCGCCCCGAGGGCAGTGGGGTGCAGCGGAGCCGGCCCTGCACACAGCCCCCCCGCAGTCCTCCTCCAGGGCCGGGGCTGCACCGTCCGGGGACAGCCAAGCCAGGAGAGGCGTCCGCAGGGGCATGGGCCGCCTCCTGGCTACTTCTGTCCCATCTCGACAGTCTGACAGCAGGAACCTGCCGTGTGCGTATATAAGGCCAAGAAAAGTGCTGGAAAGCCGCGTGGCCGGTAAGCCGTGGCACCCGTCCTCAGCAAAGCCACAGCCACTAGCCCAGGGATGTGGACCAACTACACGACCCACGCAAGGAGGAGGAACGATGTATACGATATACCTGTAGGGGCACCTGGGGGGGCGCAGCGGGTTAAGGGGTGACTCGGTTTCAGCTCACGTTGTGATCTCAGGGTCGAGGGATCGAGCCTCACATCGGGCTCGGTGCTGAGCATGGAGTCTGCTTGGGATTCTCTCTCCCCCTTCCCTTCCCCCCACCCCTCTCTAAAATAAATAAAACTTTAAATATATATACATACACAGAGACATGTATAAAAATACCTATAAACAAAGACTTGAAGAGTCAATAATGAAAAGAATTTTTGCAATGTAAAAAAAAAAAAAAAAAATCCCATCTCTGAAGCTGGGCCAGGCTGATCCTCTGGCCCTCGGGGGCCAGCCCCGGGCTGGTTGACATTCCGGGCAGCGGTCAAGGGCCTCCCAGGGACAAGCCCCTTCCTCTGCATGCCGGGCACCGACTCCGCGTCTGAAAACCCACGCTGAACGAGCCCCGGCTCAGAGCCCAGCCGGCAGAGGCTGCAGAGCGTGTCCCTGACCGCAGTCCACAGACCGTGCAACGGGGTCCACTGCACACAGCCGACAGGGTCCCCCGGGGAGGGACGGATGAGGGAGGCTGGGGACAAGGGGGGCCCATCCCGTCTCCAGGGACCACAGCACCACCACCGTGAGCTGTTGGAATTGGGTAGAATAAGCAAAAAAAGCCCAACTAAAAATAAACATTTTTGAAGGGAGAAAGAATGCAGATAAGATGCAGTTACTATGTTCAAAAGGACATGCTGAGGCTGAAGGTTTTCTGCCAAGTCAGCCCTCCCCGCCTCCCCGGCCGCACACCCTGGGACTCGCTAGAAGCTGGGGGTCGAAGCGCCCCTCCACGTGCCGGAGGAGCCACTGGGCCACGGGCCTCCTGGGGTCTGCAGCCGCAGAGGTGGGCTGCCGTGGGCACCGGCCAAGCTGGAACACTCGTTCGACTAACTTGGCATGAAGAACGTGGCCTCCTTTCCCTCTGCTGTCCCTCTCCTCTTCTCCAGCCTGCTCCCTGCGGCACCCCCACTCCCTGGGGGTTCCCTGACACCCCCCCGCAACTGCCTGCTGGGTTCAGACAGCTGGGAGCCCCGCAGGAGACCTGGGTCCGGATCTGCGGGCCCACAGCCATTAAAACCTCAAACCTCGGTCACACTTCCCTGGAGGGAGGCCTCTCCACAGCCATTTCCGGGCTGCCGGGAAGGCTCCGGGCCCGGCTCCTCCAGGTCTGGGAGCCCTGAGAGCCCCGTGGGTACCAGCCACGGATCCGGGGGATCCCCTACACCGTGCCCACCTTTGGCAAGGGTCTTTTTTTATCGACCTGGCCTTGAGCTGTGTTGAGGTGCCATTTTTATTTCCTGCCTGATGGAACTGCATCTGGGTGTGTGACATCAGCAAGCCACAGCAGCGAAGGCCACATGTCCCGGGCGTGGAAGGTGTGGCTGAAATTTTGTCTGACAAAGCCATGGGAGACTCAGCCTCCTGCCCCGAGCTCCCAGCCAGGACAGGAGGAAGCTCCTGTGGCTGGTGCCACCACAGGGCCTGTCCTTCCAATCCCGCTCCTCTCAGCCCACACCCTCCACCAGGCAGCTCTCCGGCCTCCTTCTGTGACCTCCTCAGTGGACACCCACGGGGAGCTCACTACCTGCAGATGCTGGCCGCTGGAGAGCTGAAGAATGAATTACCCGCCTGTGCTTCCGTCAGCCACATCCATGCTTAAAACAAACTGCATTTTGGAGCGCCCGGGGGGCTCAGTCAGTTAAGCGATTGCCTTTGGCTCAGGTCATGATTCCAGGGTCCTGGGATCGAGCCCCATGTCAGGCTCCCTGTTAATCAGGAAATCCGCTTGCCCCTTTCTTTCTCTCCATCTCTTCCCGGCTTATGTGTGTTCTCTCTCTCTCTCTCTCTCAAATAAATAAATAAAATCTTTGAAAAAAAAAAAAAACAAAACATAGGAGATGACTCAGCAAGCCCACTTCTGGGTCTCTACAAAAGAAACGGAAAACGGGGCCTGGAAGAGGTATTTGCACACTCAAGCTCATGGTGGCATTTCTCACCGCATCATGTGGAAGAAACCCAAGTGTCTGCGGACAGATGAATGGGCAAAAAGAGGCAGACAGCAGACCAGTACGCAGCCTTCCAAAGGAAGGAAATTCTGACCCCCACGACAGCTCGGATGAACCTTGAGGACATCCTGCTAAGTGACGTGAGCCTGTACGAGGTCCCCAGAGCAGTCAGATTCAGAGGCAGAACGCAGGATGGTGGGCGCCAAGGCCTGGGGTGGGAGAAAGGGGTTATTGTTTGAAGCGGACACCGTCTCAGTTTTCCAGGATGGATAAGTTCTAGAGATGGGCCTTGGTAATGGCAGAAGTTTATCAGTGTTTACTATCTTCAAACAGTACACTTAAAACCGGTTAAGATGGCCAATTTGATGCTACATGTTTTCTATTAGAGTTAATATTGTCCTGGAGCAAGAGGGAGGAGGGCAGGCTCCCTCCAGAGCCTCTCTGCCCACGTAAACACGGGAGGACTAGTTAGCCCTTCCCAGCCTTGAATGGCAGAATCAGGCCTCAGGAGCAAAGGACAAAGACTTTGGGCCTGGCCGGGCGCCGCGTCAAGGAGATGCTCTGGCTCAGGCTGGGCTTGTTGATGTAAGCCTGGAGGACAAGGTCACTAACAGGAGCCAGGAGCTCTTTACTGACCAGTTTTCCCACCCCCCGCCATAACCTCATAAGACTGGATGACTATTTTATCATCCCAATTCACAGATAAAGAAACTAAGGCATGAGAAGATAAGTAATGAGATTTGAGCCCAAGCCACCCAGCTCCAGAGCCCTGGCTCATGACTAGTAACGTCCTGTCCTGCCTCCCTGCCCCCTCCCCATGGCGCGTAGGGGTCAGGGGTCATCGGGACGGGCAGGCACCAGCAGGCTTGTTCACGCAGAATTAAAAACAAACAGCCCCCCATCATGCTAGGAGATGCTGCTAGAAGACAAAGACGCTTGTGGCACAGCCGCGGTGGGCTGGAACCTTCAGGCCGGGTCCCTTAGGACATGGGAACAGCTCAGGAAGGGGACAGTCATCTTGGGACATGCTGCTTATCTCACTGAGCCAACGGAGTGCCCTGAATGACTGGTACCCGACGGATAAGGAAAAAAGGGGGAGGGGATAACTCCATTAAATGCGACTCTTCCCTTTACAGAATAACTGGGCCATAAGCCTATAGGTGAAAGCCAGTCCCACTGAATAAAGAGAGCCTCCGAGGGAGGGAAGCTGGGGGGCCCTCGTGGCTCAGCCTGCTCCCCACGACCAAGGGTGACAACTTGCCCACCGAGACCCCACCCACAAGGGACTGTCCTATTCTTCCTTTCCGGCACATCCCTTGGCGTAAACTTTCAAAATGCTGCAAGATTCACAGAAAAGCCTTGGGTCCCCCAACTGCCTCTGGCCCCCTGGGGGAGCTGAGCAGAGCAAGAAGCTCGAGGGCAGAAGGAGAATGCCCGGTAGGAGCTGCCCACACCAGCCACGCTGCCCCAAAAATCCAGGCTTGGTCCCCTGCCAACAGGCTCTTCTCCAGAACCTTCTTAGGGGCCCAGAGCTGCAGCAGGCCCTGGCACTCACCCCAATCTGGAAGTTTCCACAACAGGAGTAGAAAGAGCCTGGAGTGGGGGGTCAGGAGAGCCCTACGGATCCGTAGGTTGTCCTGATGCAAGCCGGAGCCGCACAGAGGGGGCGAAGCTGTCCACGCAGTCCCGCAGTGTGCCCTCAGGCCAAGTCCCATAACGGCTCTCGTCTCAGGGTGTGCAGACAACAGAACCTACCTCACAGGCTAGGTTATCTAGAAAATATTTCGAACGCTCCGTGTGCCGGTAAACAGATCTGTGCCTGCCCAGTCCCATCTATAGACCTGTGTCGGTTCTACCCACATCACGGTTTTGAGCATTAATTATAATGGATAAAGAAGTAAGTGTATTGAGAAATATTAATAAAATATAGGATATTAAACAAATGCTAAGACATTGGTTATTATTTCACTAATACAAACCAATCCTATTGGGGTCACAGAGCTGGCAAGACCTTGCTTTCCTTGGGGGCCATGCAAGGAGTATCTCGTGCCCCAAAAGACTCTTTTTCAAGTTGACTGTAATAGTGCGATTTCCGGATAAGGAAAGGTTACTCCTGTCAACGCTTACAGCCCCAGAAGCAATTCTGATAGACACGAGCGGCAGTGATTCATCTGATAGTTTTCCTTGGAGTGGGATGGCTCTCAAGCAGGCCACCAGAGGGGCAGGCACCGCCTCACCAGGACGTGGGGGTTGGTGTCCTGAGGGGACAAGACACTGTGAGGGCTACCAAATTGGGTGGGAGGGGGAGTTGCCAGGCATGAGCTGGGAGGTGATGGCAGAGCAGGGCTGGACAGGAGGGTGGGCTCTGGAGATGCCCTGGGTGCAGAGTCCCATGCCCACCAGGGCAAAACCGCCCTGGAAGAGCGGGGAACTCGACTGGGGAGGTCACCCACCTTCGAACTAGGCTCCCACACTGGACACCAGGCCCGGGAGCTCCCCAGGGTCAGGGTGCATCAGATCCAGCCAAAAGCTTGTTAGAAACGCAAATTCTAGAATTCGCACCCCACCCCGCACGCACTCGGCCACTCACACACAGGGCCCTCACTGGAACTGGGATCTGGGAATTTATGTTTCTGAAAGCCCTCCAGATAAGTCTTATGTTTGGAAAAGCACTACAACTGGATTATAAATTTTGGACAGATCTTAGATCTCCTAGCCTCAGTTCAGTGCCTGTCAATCTGTGTGACATTGGGGGTGACTTTGGGGGTGGCCAGAGGAATATGTGTTAGTTTGTAACTGACTCTCCCTTATCACCCCCGGCCGCAAGTAACAGCCAATCCAAATTCATCTCTGGGCTGTGAAATATCCACCATAACTGCTTTTATTTAAAAGCAATAGGGTCGGGGTGCCTGGTGGCTCCAGTGTCTGCCTTGGCTCAGGTCATATCCCAGACTCCCTGCTCAGTGGGGAGCCTACTTCTCTTTCTCCTCCCCTTGCTTGTGCTCTCTGTCAAATAAGTAAATAAAATATTTTTAAAAAATAAAAAATAAAACCAATCAAGTCGGTTTCAGCCAATAGTGAAGCTGATTTGTACTCCCTGTGCCTACAGGACTTGGAAGGCCTGGGGAGGCCACCCAGGATTTGCTGATTGTGGTGGAAAAAAACCAGGCGGTGATAAATAACCACGTGCAGAACCTTGTGCTCCAAGGGGCTGTACCCACTGCTCAGGGGACACCAGGGGCCAAGCTGGAACAGGGACTCACAGCCCTGGCCTGCAGACATGTGACAGGGACCCAGGGTATGAAAGCCGTCCACCTCCAGTGACTATACACAAATATAAACCCGTATGTAGGCACTTGTGAAACTTTCATAAAACAGTATGTATGTCGGGTCACCTGGGTGGCTCAGCCTGCCTTTGGCTCAGGTCATGATCCCAGAGTCCTGGGATGGAGCCCCACATCCGCTCCCTGCTCTGCTGGGAAGCCTGCTTCTCCCTCTCCCACTCCCCCTGCTTATGTTCCCTCTCTGGCTATCAAATAAATAAATAAAATCTAAAAAACAAACAAACAAACAAACAAACAAACAGTATGTACTCCTACTATGCGTGCCTCCTGCCATGCATCGTTTCCAGATATGCTAAATCGGTTTAACAACTCCCTTTTGAAAACTTTGATCCATCCCTCCCCCACACCCTTTCATTTTCCAGCAGAAGAAACAGGCAGGCACGAAAGAGCAGAGCAGAAAGGCTAGATGGGGAAGGGGGCGTTCAGATTTCAACTCAACCCCCCACAGGCTGTGTGACCCGGGACAACTTACTTCCTGCCTCAGTTTCCCTGTCTGCACGAGTGGGCTAACAGCAGTGTGAGGACCGGGCACGGCCGTGCTCGGTGCCGCCGGCACCTCGCAAGCACCGGTGGTGACCACAATGGCTCCTGGAGGAAATGTCCGGCCAAAGGCCACTCGGGCAGCGAGGGACGGGGTAAGGCGCTACCTAGCGCGGGGAGTACGCAGAGGTGCGGTTCCGGGGGAGTCTTAAGGCCGTTGTCACTGCAGCGATTTCCTGCACCGGGCGGACAGGTGAAGGGAGCCCCCCGCAGCGGGTGCACCCCGGCCCCGCGGGCTCCGCACCGCCCCCCGCGCGCGCTCGGCCGCTCGCACGCTGGGCCCCCACGAGCGCTCCCCTACGAGGGCCCCGCCGTGGGCGGGGCGGGGCTTTAGGGCAGGGGTCGGCGGGCCGCAGGGCTGAGGTGTGCGGCGGCCCAGCGGACGGCGGGGACGGCAGGAGGGTGTACCTTGCAGGAGCGCGCAGCACTGGCCGTCCGCGGTGCTCCAGAGCCGGGCCGTGCCGTCCTCGCTGCCCGTCAGCAGGCGCTGCCCGTCCGGGCTCAGGCTGAGCCAGTTGATGCCCCCGCGGTGGTCGGCGCAGACCCTCAGGGCCGACCCTCCGCCCCCCATGCGGACGGCCGGGCGGGAGACGAGGAGGCTGCGCCCCGCTACGGAGGGGCGCCCCGGCATCCGCGCGGCGGCTCTCGGCGGCGGCGTCCCGCGGCCATGACCCTGCGGGGCACGGGGTGCGGCGAAGGTGAGGCGGGGGCCCTCGCTCCCGCGCCGCCCGCACAGCCTCCGGACCCGCGGACCGAGTGTGGGGGGGTGGGGGGCGGCGCTGCGGGGGGCGGCCCGCGGGGACCTCCCGCTCCCGCAGTGGAGGAGACCCGGCCCCGCCGGCGCCGGCTGCCTCCTTCCCCACGCCCCACCTGAGCGGGCCCGTCCTCGGAGCCGGGACCCCCAGGCAGAGACGTCTCCCCGCGCGCTGGAAGGCTCGGGCCTCGTCGCGGGGTCCGGCGGCGGGGGGTACCCGGGCAAGCAGAGCGCCCTGCGGCCGGGCGCCGCGCGCTGGGGGCGGCGAGTGTGGAACAATACAGGCCAGCCTGGCTCCTCCTCAGAGACCACCCCCCAACCTGTCCCCTCCCACTTCTCCGGCCGGCGCCCCAGCCCCCACCCCGCTGCCCCACCCCGGCACCCGGCGCTCCGGACCCTCCTCGGCGCGCGGACACAGCGCCCTCCCCGGGGACGCCGGGGACCCGCGCACGTGCGGCTGTCCCCGCTGCCCCGTGCGGCGACCGAAGGCCGGGACGAGGTGGGAGAGGTGGACGCGGGGTCCGGTGGGGTGAGACGCGCACGCCCCGGAGCTGACTCGGGCTGGCGGCTGCGCGCCACTACCGGGCGAGTCTGCCCCGCTCCAGGCTCCCAGCCCTAAGGACGCTGCCAGAGAGGTTCTCGGGGGACTTTGGGGTGGCCCCCTTGTTGCAGAGCGCTCCGAGTCCGCTCTCGCTGGGAAATCACACATACGCCCCGATTCGCAAGTGGGGTGGCGGCGGGCGAGCGAGGGAAGAGCGGCGCGATGGGGCTTCCGGGAGAGGTCAGGTTCACCCTTGTGAGAGGCCGCGGGGTCCTAGGCGACCCGCTCCCGCAGTCCTCGTGCTGGGGGTTTGGGGCCCCCACCCACGGATCCATCTTTCGGCAACCTCTCCCACCCCCATCGCATCCCAGCGCCTCTCACGGTCCACTGAGGTCTCTACAGGAATCCCACACCCTGGGTTGTGAGCCCTCCCGGAATGTCTGCTGGTTCCCATTAGAGCTGTTCCGGTGCCTGCTTCGCGGGGGGCGGGGAGGGGTAACACCCCCCACACTCGGTTCCTCCAGGTCCTAAAGGGAGCAGGGTTTCCCGAGGGGCGGGGTGGAGGGGCTGCGAGGGAACAAGGTAGCTTTGGAAAGCCAGCCCTCATCGCCACAACCAGACCCTCTCCCAGTGGCTATGTCCAGACTCCCAAAGAAAACCCCATAATGGGGTCCCAAAGTTACATGGGACAATTTATTCTCCCAGGGTCTGAACCAGAGAAATGCACTCTTTCCCTAATCCTGGGAATCAGCTTGCAGTTAAGTTTAAGAAGCGGGCACCAGTGAAGGGTGTAAGGATGGGGGGCCCTGATGCAGTGGGATTGGAGTTGTGGAGGTGGCCTGAAAGGAGGCAGGAGGCGGGTGTGATCATGCAGGAGAGAGGAAGTCGGAAACTGGTGAACTATTCTAGAGGTGGACTCTTCGGAAACTGGGAGCTTGCTGGCAGGAATGGACTCTGGGAGTCTGCACTATGCTAAGACAGAGTAGAGGGAGGCTGGTGACATGTGTCCAGAGATGCACCTACAGGCTGACCGAGTTCTTTTTAGGACCTGCGAACTTGAAGGTGCCATGGAAACATCTAGGTATGAGACCCATGGGCAGTTGGGCCATACAGGTGCTCAGAAGAAAATCCAAAGGAGACAGAAGACCCTTGCTCCAGGGGTGTCTGGTGGCTCCTTCCCTCAGGGTCCTGGTCTGATCCCTTTTACCCTCTCCGCCCCCAGGACAGGGTCCATCCAGACCTGACACAGGAAGTCCACACAATTTGTGAAGGGGAATTTCTGAGCTACCGTTTGCTGTTGAAAAAAAGAAAGGGAAACATGTTTTCCCCTCCATTCCAGATTTCAGCCTTTACAAGGCAGACGGAGGACAGTTTGGGACCAAGAGACCTTCCCAAGCCTCCTGACCTTTCACCGTACAGGCAACAACCCTGTCTGGATTGTGGTTTCGGGCCAGCTCTGCTAACAGCTCTTGGCAAAGCACTCCCTGAAACTAACCCACCCATTCCCACTGCTCCCCAGCTTCTTGCCTGCATCCTATAAGAAGAGGTAAAACCTGGTCTCTGTTTTTGCCAGCCCTGCCCTAACAGAAAGCAACGACTTATAGGGCTGGCAGAAATCTTTCCTACATATTTTCTCCTCCCCAAATACTAAACAAGAAATCCTACGCTATCGGAGTTTTTATGTTATTTCACTATAATCCAGGGACAGCGATAAGGCAAGCACAGTTATACATTGTGTAATAACATTTAACTTCCACGGCAATTTCTTGTATTAAATACTCTCTTTTTGATCTTGCTGAGGAGGACAATGAGGCCTAAGGAGGGTAAGTAGACAGTTGCTCAGTGTGTGGGACATTCAGGTCTAAATGATCCGTCTGCACAAATGCAAGCAAATTAGTGGCTTGAGAGGAGCAGGGCCATCCCTCTGCGCCTAAGACACAGAAGGCTTGTGGCAATTTCTTTCCCTCCAATCCCACTAAATTTTCCTGGAAAGAAATCTCAGGCAAAGGTCTGGCAAGAGGGCTTTTCCCTGAATATCCTGATGATGATCTGTGGGCACCTTGCTAAGTGCATTTCTCTGTGGATGGAGACGAGCGAGCTGGCACCCTGTCTCTTGCTCCCTACAGAGATCTCAGACATGCTGGCTTGTGGGCACCCTCTCGCCAGTGACTTTTATTCTCATCGGACCCAACAAAGCATCCTGGTTGGAGTGTGTGCATGAGTGTGTATGTGTGTGTGTGTGTATGTGTGTGTGTGTGTGTGTGAGACTAGGAGGGACAACCAGGGAGGCTGGTTTAGCAGCATCTGCTTTCACTCATTCCAGAAGATTTCTAGCTGCCCACAAAATGATGCATTTGCTTGTCCTCCACAAGGATTCTGAAGCCAAGTTTAATTCGTACTGGAGTTGTTAATCCTACTATGGGTATTGTACATGAACTTTGTGTGTTTCAGAGTGAAAGCCAGGGCCAGCTGCACCACTGACTGCATGCCTTTCTTTTGCTGGGAGCGGAAACGAGGAGCAAGCCGGTGTCAGTTGGGATTCTTCATGGCGTAAGAAACTGAAGTCAGCAAACTGGCAGGAGAAGGGGATTTATCAGAAGGGTATCAAGCGAAGGAAGAGATGAGTATCCAGATTAGAGGAAAGAAACAGGGACATGCGGGGCTCTCCGCAGCTGGAACTCATGGAATGGGTCCTTGGGATGCTGCTACGAGTTGACCTTGGCTCCAGCTTTGTTCCCGGTGTGATTTGGCACCAGATTTCACTTTCAAGGAGAGAAAAGTTAACTGCCTACACTGAGCTTAATTCCACTGTGAGCAGCGCCCCTTGACCTCTGCCTCATCCGCACCAGCCATGGTTCCCCAAGTCACCGCAGTCTTCCTTTTGGCTGCCCAGCGCTCACACACAAACACCCTTCTTTCCACCGTCACAGTCCCCAAATGCCCTGCTTTACAGTGACTGCCCCATGTGAAACCACGCACGCGCTGCCCCATTCCCGACACGGGACAATGCACCCGGCTCTGAAGTGACATGATAGGGTGGCCGGTCTCTGAGTCCAAGAACTCTGAGTACATTCACGTCTCAACCACATACTGTCTTAATATTCTCCAACCTGTGGACGAAATAAAATCAAACACCAAAAGCCTATATCACCTACGAACAGAAGAACGTTTTTAAAGATGTATGTGACCCAGCAAGCAAAAAGAAAGGACAGAGGCTGCCATTCTTGTTTCTAGAACTGACATATGTATCATCTGTCCCCATGACCCATTGCTGGTCCCCTAGTTTCTGGGTCCTATCTCTGCCAGGTGACATTGTGGATACCCTAAACTTTATTCCCCATAAGTAATATGTATTGAGCACTTAGAATATGCTGGAACGTGTTACAAGTGCTTTATAGGTCTTATTTCATTATCCTCAGAATAACTTTTTTTTTTTTTTTAACGTAGGGTTTGAAATCACAACTCTGAGCTCAAGAATTGCAGGCTCTACCAACAAGCCAGTCAGGCGCCCCTTCCTAATAACCTTTTGAAGAGGTCCTATTTACATCCCATCTTATCACAGACAAATGGAGACACAGAGACATTAGGTAACTCTCCCAGGCTCCCCCAGCTAGCAGAGCAGAGGCTGGACTGGAGCCCAGGCCTCTGTTGGTTAAGTGTCTTCTTTGGGCTCAGGTCACCTGCTCAGCAGGGAGTCTGCTTCTCCCTCTGCCCCTCCCCCAGCTCCTGCTGTCTGTCTCTCTCAAATAAATAAAATCTTTTTTTAAAAGAAGTTTAAGTATTGGGGCACCTGGGTGACTCAGTGGGTTAAGCCTCTGCCTTCGGCTTAGGTCATGATCTCATGGTCCTGGGATCGAGCTCCGCATCGGGCTCCCTGCTCAGCGGGGAGCCTGCTTCTCCCTCTCTTTCTCTGTCTGCTTCTCTGCCTACTTGTGATCTCTGCCTGTCAAATAAATAAATAAAATCTTTAAAAAAAAAGAAGTTTAAGTATTTATTTACCTTCCCCCTGCATCTTTTATCTGAGGAAATGACCCAAGGTCCAACTTTTAAAAAACTAGCAAGAAGTTGTGGCAGGCGTCTTCCTCCAGGTGAGTGGTCCTCGCACTCCACAAAGTAGTAGGTTCTGGGAATTGTGCAATTCTCTCACATGTTGGCCCAAAACAGGCCTCTCTTCACCTTCCTGACCCTGCAGATCAAGGGCGACTTCAGAGGATTGCTTACGGTTGTAACGCCAGGAGATCCCTGTTAATGACCCCGAGCCTGAGATCTTGGAAGGTGACAGGGCTCCCAGAGAACCAAGCTCCTCCGCACCTGCCTTACACTCTGAGAAATGACCTACCCACCGTAGTTCCCAGCAGATGCTCCTGCACCCCCCCCCCCCCAGAAACCAGACCTTTCCATCACAGCGCCTCCTGTTAGCGTTCCCCGGCAGCCCGTAGAGACAGCCTTTTCAATTCTGGAATGTCCGTCACCAGTTTATTCCTTGTGTCAAGGTGGGGTGGTTGGAGTCAAATGGGTGCCCTCAGGGTGCCTGTGAGGGGTGGTTTGGGGAGTACACGTGAGTGGGTCCAACTCAGCATTCCCATCTCCCACAGTCTTAGAAGCCAGTCCTCTGTGTTAATACAAGGGCAGCTAGCCTTTCTGGGTCATTTCTTTGCCATCAGTTGGCATCAGCCAGTCCACTAAGCTGTTAGAGCAGAGATAAGTCCCCAAGTCAGTGTGTGAAACACGGGATCATCTT